TTTTATGTGTTTTTTTAACAAAATTTTTTACAAATGTTTTACAGATTTTTTTACAGATTTTTTAAAAAAATTTTACAAATTTTTTTATAGATTTTTTTGCAGATCTTTTTACAAAATATTTTACAATTTTTTTTACAGATTTTTTTTTACAGATTTTTAGAAAAATTTTAACAATTTTTTTTGAAAGTATGTTGTGATGTGTGAATTTTGTTTAATTGTATCTTTGATAAAATAAATAAGTATTATTTTTAACAAATTGATTATAGGTGTGTAAAAAAATTTGATTCCCCTATTTTGAACCAAACACGAACAAAGGAATTCTATTCCCTTTGACCAAACAGACAGAGTAATTCAGGGGTAATCATTATCTTCCCCCCTGATTCCCTTTCCTGTTTCCTTTCCCTTTCCTCAGCATGAACCAAACGCCCCCTTAGATAAATGAGACAAGAGCTAATCTTTGAAGTATTGTTTTTTGGATTATGAGATTCATGTAGTTTTGGGCCGTACCAGTGCGAGACCTCCTGGTTTAAACGGTGACTCAATCATAACTTGAGCTTTCCTGCATTTAATGCAAATAGCAGAAGAGCCATGTTAGGAGGTATGAACGATTGAGTCAATCAAATTCAAAACTTAGTGAGCAGTGTGGGTTTTACTTGATGACTAGTTTTTCTCCTTCTCTTGAGAGTTCATAGTAGCTGCAACCTCTAGTAAAAGGAATCTGCATCTTCTTCCATTCTGCAATTACAATTGTATGTAGCATTGAGACATTATATGCATGCTGACAACCATTGTGAATCCAACTGTTTGACATCATTCTACATCGTTCGATTTATATAAGTATGCGAATAAAAACCCAAACTTATGTGTGTAGAGTTTACCTAAATGCCACTTGACAGCAACTGCTTGGTCAACACCTCCACAAACATGTTCTATGATGAACTCTGTGTTCTGACCCATAGATGTGATCAACTCCTCAAGAAAACCCAAAGCTTCCTTCTTCCCTTGGAATGGCATAGGGAAGGATAAGTCATCAATGAAACAATCTTTAGACAAGAGTGTTTCAAGGCTCTTCATGTCCTTTTTGTTGATGCTGGAGTAGAACTCCGTGATAATCTTCTGTGATTCATAATCTGAACCGGTGCTGCCAGTATAAGAACGACCAATGTCCGATTTAACCACTAAGTTCAAAGGTTTGTTCTTCTTTGTCCCCTTTCCTGTGAATCCCTGTGGAAAAAGTCGCATTTTCTCCACGCTGTGCAGTTTCACGGCTGGGAATGGCGAAAGGTGACAACGGTAATTTCCCACTGCTTTTGGCCACAGGGGTTGCTGCGTTATAGCAATGCCTGAAAGCGCCATGGAGTTTTTTTTTTGAAGGAAGAAGACATTTGAGGTGAATTTATAGTTGTGGCCTGAGGAGGAACCAATTGAGAGGTTTGATTGTTTCTTTGGTTCCAATAAAAGAACCTTTTTTGGAAGCTCTTCAAGGCTTCGTAGTTGTTGTTTTGGTTTCTTGGTGAGCAACTGTGCGGGGAAGGAATAAAAATGGAAAATATTGGGAGAAGAAAAAAACAAATGATGATATAGACAAATATATAAAGAAAGAGATAATAATTATGGTATTTGTGTTGTGTTTGTGCCAATTTGTCAACGTGTGTGTATGCAAAATCACTTTGGTTCCCATGACATTGAGATTCATTGTCATGGGATGACACGAAGTTAAAATAGATGTGTACTTGAGATGTTGAGGTTCACTTAAAAAGAAAAAAAAAGAGGAAAAAAACATCTGTTTCATCTTCTTTCCCATGATAAATTTTTCATAATTTTTTCATAATTTTTCTAAAGAATGTATGAAAAAACAAAATAATTGAACTTATGCAGTGGAGGGAGAAATACGGAGTAATGTTGAATATTTTTTGCTCACCAATGTCAAAAAATGACCTGACTAGCTTTGGATCCGAGACCCAATCTGTTTTTTACCCAAGATCCGACCTGAAAATATTGAGTTTTGAACAAATGTTTTATCGACTGAATTTAAATAATCCGCTAAAAAAGAATCATTCTTGACCAAACCCGATCTGATTAACCCGTAAATGTAAGAATGTTTTATGATTATATACTTTAATATGAAATATAATCATATAAAAATAAGATTATGATCATATTTTTTTACTACTCGTTTTTAATGTATAAATTTCATTTTCAAACAAAAATTTAATGATATCATATAATTATTTTTTAAAAAAAATTCTTGTATATTTAGTGTTTTTTTATTTGTAATATGAGTAATAAAAATCACTTAAAATTTCAAAAAATAAATAAAGCTCATAACGCATTAGGTCACCCGAACCCGATGGCATTGGGTCATGGACATCTAGTTTTCAACCCGAATTTGAATTTACCTGAAGCCAAAGTAACTCGAATCCAAAGTGGTCGAAACCAAACTTGATCTTATTGATTGATTTACCGGCTCTAGTCACTAATAACTGATGTTCCTTCCATATTATCTGTTTCAGTTTACAATCTTTGACTGAAGTTATTTTCAAATTATTTAATATGAAAAAGCGTGTAGAATTAAATAATAAAAAATACATATTTATAAACTACATCAAAAGATCTACAAATCTAGTGGTGACATAACTATATTATTTTATCAAATAACTAATGAAAATAGGAAAAGAAAGTGAATAAGATTTAATTATGTGAATAATAAATACAAATTTAATTTGGGACGGAGGGAGAATAATGTAATACCCGTTTATATTTTTTTCTCAACCTTTTAAAGTTTGAAAAGTTATCGTCTCCACTAAGATTCAAACATGTTGATTATTCAATGCTTTTAGAGTCTGTTTGGTCTGTTTTGGAGATATGATGTGACATGCGTTTTATAGTCTGGATAAAATAATATAAGTACTGAGATCTAAAAGAAAAATATTTAGAGAAAACGTTTATGAAATCATATTACAGTCACAACTAGTTGGTGAGCAATTAAAAAATTATATGTAAGGGTTGGATAATATTTACGGAGTATTATAGACATGCAGAGTGTTATTTAAGTTATAATTTCTCTATAATTTATTTAGAATGTCAAATTAAAATAGTAACACGCATATTATTAAAACAATAGCGAGTAATATTCACAAGCAAATGCAACATTTGTAACACACAAAATATTATGAAGTAATTCATGTCCACTTAAAAAGTGACATCAACAAAACAAAGTGGTATAGAATGTTCAACAAAATAGCGAAGTATTCAAATAAAATGTAACATCCACGAAACTAAACAATGTTTAATGTTCGACAAGAGAGCCAAAAATCTAGACAGCCAAACTCTCGCAACACGTATTTTAATGAATTAGATTAAATGAGTTCCTTTTTCCGCTTCTTATTGGGATCACGTACAATAGAAGAGAGACTGAGAGATTAGTCTAAGTAAAAAGAGAAATGCTAGAGTCACAAATACTTCAGTCACAAAATACACAAACTTGTTATTTGTGCACCTCACCAAGTGAATAAAATAATGTTAAGTAATTAAAAAGTAGATATTTAAATACACAAATAGTAAGTTTGTGTATTTTGTGACTGAAGTGTTTGTGACTCTACCATTTCTCAAGTAAAAAATAATCTCCTCATTGCAAACATTGCATCAAGGTGGGTTTAAATTACAAACTACTCCCTCCGTTCTGAAAAGCACTTCCTCTTTCATTTTTTTCACTTTTAACTAAACACTTCCACTTTCTATTAAAAAACCACTTTTACCCTTACTTTTTCATACCCTACCTATCACATCATACTTTTTCTCTAATAATCTATCCATCACATCTTACTTTTAACCATTACATCAGGGGCAAAATTGGAAGTCAACTATAATTTAACACTTCCTTATTTTTGCTCCAAGTCAAAATAGGAAGCCTTTTTGCAAACGGAGGGAGTATTATTTTCTGTATCCTTTTTCAAATTAAATGATAATATAACTGTGGATGTTTATATTTTTATAGGTTGCATTGATGACATTCATTTCATGTTATTTCATGGTGATCCTCGCTTTGTAAATTTATTAAATAATGATGCGTTAATAGAGATCAGCTAAATTTAGAATAAGTTTTTTAAAATGATCATTTCTAATGAAGTGTTTTTCCAAAATAGTTTTTTTAATTAAATATGTGTATTTGATTCAAATTTTATACGAATTTTTTTAGGTTTTTAATAATTCCAGGATTATGTATAGTCAATGTATTGTTTTAATTTTACATTTAATTGTATAGCAATGAACATTTTGATAATATACTTTAAATTTAGATGCTAGAAATGCTAAAAAATCATTTAATTAATCATTATTTGAGTAACATTATTTACGAAAGACTACCTAGGGAATAATTATGAATTATAAAGGACCAATTTGATAATTAGAACTTATTGATAACTGAATCCCAGAGATTGACTCACCCCATGCAACAACGCTTCTTTTTTTATCTTCAGTCCTTTTTTAGCATCATTTTCTTCACGAGCCATTATAGTTTGCTTATGTTCTTGAGTTGTAGATCAGAGAAAGCTCTTGCAACTACATAGAAACGAGATGTCATACCACCTAGAAAAGATAAAAATATTAGAGGAAATGTTCATAATTGATTAGTTTATCATTAACTTCTGGATTTTTCTTTTTAGCCGTTTCCACTTTCATAGTTTTCTTTTCTTGAATTTTTTTCCTATTTGTGGAGATAGTTGAGTAAAAGATTGATTCACATTTTTATACTCTTCGATCACATCGTTGTTAATGCATATAGCTTTATTATCTGTTAGAAGGGTCTCCAAAGCCTCTACATAATTCTCACATGCACCTTTATTAGCTCTATGTGTTCATGTAGAAGTGTGTACTCCCACATCGAAAAGTAAGTGATGAGATTTCGCCCAGCAACTATGGCGTACAAAGAACAAAAAACAGTGACAATAGTTTTGATCTTGTATTTCTTTTGTATTAGCTACTCTCCGTTTTGATCTTGTATTTATAGCTTAAATCTACCATGTATAAGGTAAGTTGTGTCGTGTGATACATTATGGTCATTTTGCGCGTCAATCATGGCGGGAAATTAGTTACTGATTCCCGTCAATCCCACGATTCGAGGAATTCAATTAATTTGGGAATTGGATCGGATGCCTTTCCAGTCCATTCTCAGGCCTTGCCTTTAAGTTAACAATCCGACCTTTAAAGCTATCGGGTCAGCCTAACTTCAATTGGGACTTCAATTGGGCCGTTCCTGTTGAGTCACTGACTCGGATATCTATTAGTAAGTAAAATAAACTCCAACATATAAATTCTTTGGTCTTTTCTCTTATCTTCAATTAGTTTTACGATAGAACCCCATGAGTTTGTGTGTCGGGCATATTACGCAAATGCGCACAAACCGACATGCGCTCCCCTCATGCTATGATTGGCTTATTGTACTTTTATCATGATATCAAAGCAGCTTTTGTCTGAGTCCAACCTTCTAGTCTACTAAGATGGCAGGCTTGAAGACAAGAAAAAAAACAATCGCAACTGGAAAAAATGTGAGGCCAGGCAGTGGCACTTTAGGGGGGAGGGGGATGTTCAAGTGTGTACTCTAACTTTGTTCAGTGCAAAAGATTACATGACAGGTACATGAGTTTTCTAGCGGAAATTAGTTCCAACACTCTACCCAAGAGTTTTCGGGATGCTATTAAATTTCCCTCTACCATGAGGCTACAGAATAAGAGTTATTGGCTTTGCAAAGAAATCATATGTGGGACATTACTCATCTCCCCTAACATCGCAAGGCTTTGGATTGTCAGTGGGTCTATAAGACAAAGTTTTGTTTGATGGAATTAAATAATATAACAAAGCCAAGTTAGTTGTTTTCGGGGATCATTAACACTAGGAAAAGTGATTACAATGACACTTTTGTTTTGGTGGCCAAGTTGGAAACTATTCATGTATTATTATATGTTGTTATTGCCATGATTTGAGAAGTTTACTAGTTTGACGCTAATAATGTGTTCTTTTATGGTGACCTTTAGAAGGAAGTATACACAAAGTTATCTCGAGGCATAACGAAGCATATCTTGGGAAATTTTATCTCTTGCGCAAGTCTCTTTTTAGTCTTCGATAGCCTCTGCAAAATTTGCACGCAAAGTTGAGTACTACTTTGCGACTTTTAGTAATCACATGACAATCACACACTTTTTATATGTGGTCGTGGACTAGATATTTGGTTATGCTATCTTATGTTGATGATGTTTTTGTTGCAAAGGATAATGGGTCTTTATGTGCTTCATTTAAAAAATATTTACATGATTGCTTCTACCTGAAAGATCTTAGTCATGTCGCTTATTCTTTAAGGATGAAATGTGCATGATCCAAGGAAGGTATGATGTTGAACAAAAGAAAATATGCTCTGATTTGTCCAGTTGTAAGCCGATTGATACTCCTATTCAGCCATGCTATAATCTTGCTAGTTCTATCAGTGTTGAGATTAGAGACCCTAACAAATATCATTAGCTTGTGGGCCACCTCTTATATTTGACTATCACTTGTCTGCATATTTGTTATTCGTAATGTCATTTCATGGTTTATGTAGGCATCTGGTCTGGATCATCTTAATGCAACTTTGTGCATAATTCACTATCTAAAGGGACATCCTGGCCATGGAACTCTCTTACGAAGTGACAATAATCTTGATCTCACTGCATACTCTAGTTCTGATTGGGTAAGTTACCTTCTTACTCGTCGCTCAGTTACATGAAGGAGACGACTCTCTCGTTACTTGGGATGAATCTTCTTCTTCGGCTTCAGTTTGCATTTCTTTGCTTTTGCGCTTCATCATCGGGACGACCTCGTGCTTGGTCTCTCAGGGCCATGACATTCTCAACTTCATTCACAGGTCAGGCTTGGATTTGTTCTTTTTCACTCGACCTTTGTTCGACTTCACCTTCTCCATTTGAACATCTCTCTTCGTCAACGTTCTACTCTTCACATGCTATCCCTTCGAGACTTGCTTCAGATGGCCGACACTTCTTTATTGAAATGTGCTTTTTGCCTTCTGTAACCTTTTTTTTTGTGTAGGACTTGGGTGATTACACTTTATTATTTATGTTATGTGCAACCCAAATCCTTTAAATCCTTGAACATTTTTGTTTTGTTTTGTTTTGAACTTTTGCTTGGTGAGGTAGAGTATGTTCCACTCATCCAACATTATTTATTTTAATAAATGCATTCTTTAAAAAAGCTAGATTATATTGTAACACTATTCATAGTCTTCATAGCAGTAAAGCTTGGACAAAGAGAACGGTCTCAAACTTGTATTAATTTAAAATTTTACTATCAAATGTACAAAGAGATGTCGATTACAACAACGACAACCCGGTTGAATTTTATAAAAGTAGGGTCTGAAGAGAGTGTGTAGACAAACCTTACCCCTACTTGAAAGTAGAGAGATAGTTTTCAAAGAGATTTTTAGCTCAAGCACCACAGTCCACAAGTAATGACGTATGCAGTTTGACTTCTATGTTTAAAACATAGAGTATTTCAATACAAACCTTATAAAAACCTCCATGGGGTCGATTGCACTCTATACTTTAATAGGAAGGTAGTATTATTGGATTAAAAAATCGTATGGTAAAATGTACTCTCTCTCTCTCCTTAAAAGATTGCCGCGGTTTGATTTTTTTAGTCAAACTATGTCACCCTTAAATCGTGAATTATGAAAAAAGTGTACTTACTTATAATATAAATTTAGTAAAATTGTATCTATTTTAAAATATAGTTTTAAAATATTTAATTTTATAATATTTAATTATTTTAAACTATAATTAATTATGATCAAAAGATGCTATAGTTTGACAAAAAACGTCAAATTATGGTAATCTTCGGGAGAGGGTAGATGCCTATGAAATAACTCTTCTAATACTTGCACAATTTTAATCCCATACGCTGCCACTCTCTTTCCTCAATGTAAAAGGTTTCTCATCAGTTCATTTATGAGGGCATTTTACTTCTTCTCCCCCATCGCCAAACCAGATTTAATGCATGTTCTTCCTACAGTAACCCCTTTACTTTCCTCTTTTCTTGAACGAAGCAATCCAATAATTTTCATTTTGTTTTTCTTCAAGATTATCCGAATCCCCGACCCGCATTCCATAGATCCGCCGCATTCTGCCAAGAAAATCCTGGCCGGCGGCCGTCTTCCCCGGACGGCGGAGCCTTGATTTTTCCCGGCAGCAGTTCCGACAATGACGATGAAAGTGTTCCAAAGGGATAAATATTCGGAAAGGGTAATCTGGGATCAGATGAGGAGCCCTTCCGGCGGCACCCCTCGCTCGATTTCCGGCCCCCAGAATCGGGTCTTGCCCAGATTCATAGTCTATCTCATCGTCTTTGTCTCCCTCACCTACGTCGTCTACACCCTCAAGCTCGTTTCCAGCTCCAGAGCTTGCAACGACGACGTTTTCCCCCACCGACATACCACCGCCTTGCCCGTTCGCTCAGAAACCAACGCCTCCGCCGCGGCGGCGGAAGAAACGGGTCGCCGGGAAATCAAGAAAACGGGGCTAGAGCATGTGGTTTTCGGCATTGCAGCTTCCGCCAAGCTGTGGGACAGGAGGAAGAACTACACCAAGCTGTGGTGGAAGCCGGAGGAGAAGATGAGAGGGATAGTGTGGCTGGACAAGGGCGTGAAAACAGCAGAAAACGAATCTTCCTCCCTCCCTGAACTGAGAATCTCCGGCGACACCTCCCGGTTTGCCTACAAGAACAAGCAGGGCCACCGTTCAGCAATTCGGATCTCGCGAATCGTATCGGAGACTCTCAGATTGGGAATGGAGGACGTGCGTTGGTTCGTTATGGGGGACGACGACACGGTCTTCATTACAGAGAATTTGGTGAGAATTCTCAACAAATATGATCACAATCAATTCTACTACATTGGGAGTTCCAGTGAAAGCCATTTGCAGAACATATACTTCTCTTATAACATGGCTTATGGCGGGGGCGGTTTCGCCATTAGTTACCCATTGGCTAAAGCTCTTGACAAAATCCAAGACAAATGCATACAGAGATACCCCGGGCTGTACGGTTCGGATGATCGGATTCAAGCTTGTATGGCGGAATTGGGTGTTCCTCTTACCAAAGAACTAGGCTTTCATCAGGTGGGAAATACTCATTAAATTAATCTATCTGCTGATTAATTTAATCATATTTTCCTTCCCATTTTTGGAATTCTTGACCAACTGCCATTTCCATATTTGCTTGGTACTGGTTTGTAAGATCTCCATGACTTCATGTGCATTTTTTTTGGATCTATGCTACTAATTGTGATGCATACAACAAGATTTGCAGGTCTTAGCTCTATTCTGTACTACTGTTTAACCATGGTTAGGTTTGGAGTTGGTTACAGGTTAAAGAAAAGGGTTGGTACCAGAAAGTTGCAAACTTTGTTGCTTATTTGAGTAGGTTTTATTATTGGGAAGCCTATTGCTGGTGCCCATTTCCTATTTGGAGGTCATTTTTTTGGCCTACTTATTCTGTCTTTATATGAATAAATTTGTTGATATTGACTCTTTTTCATGTACTTACCTATGTTCAAAGATCCTCAATTCCTACTTGGAAATCATGTGCCTAGCTTTTTTTTAGTGGAGTCTATAACACCAGGGAATGCACTTAGGCTCATTATATGTGCAAATGTTATTCGATTAGGCACGATCTTGTCCTTTGAATATGCAACTTGAACTCAATTTAGTTCCCGTGCACGTTTTCTGTATTTAGTAAATTGTGTTTTTGAATCGTCGAGTGACTTAATCGGTCGTTAATTAACTCTATACTTGTTCTTAAGACCAATTTTTTTTGGGAAAGTTACAATGAGTATCAGCTTCCTAAATTGTTCTTGAAACCTATCTTCTTCTTTTTGTTGTTATTAAATTCTGGTGTGATTGTTTGTTCAGTTCGATGTGTATGGGAACTTGTTTGGTCTGCTAGCAGCACATCCTGTGACACCATTGGTCTCCCTACACCATCTGGACGTGGTGGAGCCCATCTTTCCAAACGTGACGCGGGCCCAAGCCCTGCAACGCCTCATGGTCCCTGCAGAGCTTGACTCGGCGGGTCTCATGCAACAGTCCATATGCTATGACAAGAAGAGGAGTTGGACGATATCCGTTTCGTGGGGATTCGCGGTCCAGATTTTCCGGGGAGTGCTGTCCCCCCGGGAGATAGAGATGCCTTCTAGAACCTTCTTGAACTGGTACAGAAGGGCGGATTACACAGCCTACGCTTTCAACACGAGGCCCGTGATGAGGAACCCGTGCGAAAAGCCCTTCGTGTTTTACCTGTCGGGCGCGAAAATGGCGGGCGATTCGGGCAACCGGACGACCGTGAGCGAGTACGCCCGCCACCGGGTCCCACACCCCGGGTGCAAGTGGAAGATGGCGGAACCGGGTGAGGTTGAGCAAATCGAGGTTTACAAGAAACCGGACCCGCACTTGTGGGACAGGGTAAGCCCGGCCACCCATTTTTATAATCTTCTTCTCACAAGTCGCTTAGAGGAATGCCAAAAACACCCGGCCTGACACTACGGATGACAACCGTTTGTTTATCGCCCGTGTGAACAAGTACGCGTGCGGTTGTCATATGTGGTGTCAAACTTGGTGTTATTGTAGCATGGCTCGATCATTTAACTTGGTGTTTTTGAACAGTCTCCGAGGAGGAACTGCTGCAGGGTGTTGCATTCGAGTAGAAAAAGCATGGCGGTGGGTGTCGGTGTATGCAGTGAAGACGACGACGCCGGTGGAATATGAAGGCTAGCGCCATTGTGGATGAGGGTACCTACCAAATGTCTTGTGCACTTATATATTCATCTATACATAAATGAACATCAAATGGTTATTAGTGCAGTGCAGTTTTTTTGGATTCTTTGCATTCTTTGGCGTTTAATCCTCTCCCACACAAAGATTAGCGAAAAATAAACATGGGAGATGATGGATTTTGAAGCAACTAATGATTCTTACCCTCTTAACCTCCGGGTAAACCCTCATACTCCGGTCCGCCCCGAACCCATCCTTTCAATTTCATCTCCAAAATTTTGTTGAGTTCGGGGTTGAATAATTTAGTTCCAAAATCAACAAAATATTGGAGATGAAATTTAAGGTCTTAGGGGGTGGATTCGGCTGTCATCTATTTTTTTTAGAGGGACTGGTGTTATCTGTTGACACTCAAAGCTGTTGAACTATATACAATAGGATATAAATCAACTTTACCCCATGAACTATGCAAAAGATTATTATAAACGGGGTTCCGTTGACACTGGTATTTATTGTCAACGAATGACTCTCGCCTATTTCGAGCACCTCCGAGTTCTTTGAATGAAAAATTGATGGTTCTATGTCCATGGAACATTGCCATATTATAAAAAGTAAACGATGAAACCTCTTCATTAGCAAAAAGGCATGAATGAATATAAGAAAAATGCTAGGGTATACCAAAGGTGTACCCCATTTGTCCTCCACCCCCTCCATTACCACAAAAATGGGTAAAAGATTAAAAAAAATTAAATAAATAAAAATGGGGTAAAAATGAGTGGTTGAGAAAGGGGTGGGGGACAAATGGGGTATACCTTTGATGTATCCTTGCTCCGTATATAAATCTAGGACCATGCTACACTTACACCAAAAAATATACCCCATTTGTACACCACAGGTTTGCACAAACATTTCGATGGTTTACACCAACACAAGTGTTGATGCGTTAATAAAAATTCACACGGACATAAATGTTGGTGCATTTAACAAAAATTAGTTTTACACCAACACAAAGTGTTAGTGCAAAACTACGGGGTACAAATTGGGATACAAAACTTGGGGTACACCTAGCATAATCCATCTATGAAACCTTAAAGTCACACCGAAAGTCAAAAATCATGCGCCTTTTGAGGCACCATCACTACTCGCGTCATTTGTGGGAGAGTATTCAAAACTTTAGTTTCTATGAATAATTAATTGATTGCTTCTCTCCTTCAAAATTATTGTTCTAGTTTGAAATTTTAGTGATTTAAACTATATGTAAAAAAATATATTTAGTTATAATATAAATTTAAGATAATTAAATTAATTTTAAGATGTAATTTTATTATACGGGTGTCAAATTTTAATAATATTTATTTTTTTAATTTTTAGTCAAAGAGAGCACAAAAGTCAAATTAGGAAAGACCAATTTAGAACGAATGGAGCATTTAAATAAAAATTTTAAGTGTAATTCTTGTTTAAAAATTTAGACATAATATTTTGTAGGGTTATATATGTTTTTAGTCCATGTAACATAGACAATTTTTGTTTTTGATTCCTGTAAAATATTTTTTGTTAAAGTCATCTTTTGTTTGGAAATAGTCCTTAAATATAATTAGCACTTCTAATTTGATAAGATAGCATATTTATTTCATGCTCAACATCTTAGTCTTGCAATTCTAATTACAACTGGTAGTATTTCCAAGCCCTAAACTATGTTCTTATTCATATTACATCTCTAATTTTCAGTTTTTTTAAGAAATACTACCTCCGTCCCTAAGTATTTATCCAATTTTGACTTTTTGGTCAACTCTTTTTAACTTTTGACCTATAATTAAATAAAATATATAATGTATATTAATTAGAAAAAATAATATTTGATGTAATAAATATAATAAAACTATTTTTATATCAATATCTAATATCAATTTTATTTAACTTGAGGTCAAAATTTACTAATTTTGACCGGAAAAGTAAAAAATAGACAAATAATCAAGGATGAAGGAAGTATAATATAATAAAAATTTGAGAAGTGGGGGATACAATTTGATAAATATGTTATATCAATAAATTAAAAGTCTTAATTATATATAAGGACCATTTTCAAAATAAAAATATTTTGTAAGAATGACTTAAACAAATAATATTTTATAGGAACCAAAAACAAAACACGCATACTTTAGAGGAACTAAAAACATATTTAACCTTTTTTCTTTTTTTATTAGATTGTTGTCACTGTTTGTCAATAAAAATTGATGTTTGTTGTTCACAAAAGCAAAATATTGTAATTGGCGTTTGACTTGTGAATTTAAGCGATTTTAAAATTACTAACTCCCTTTAACTTAAATGGAAAGTTTATATGATTTATAGAAAATATAAGAGGGTGTTTCCCGTCGTGTTTTTTAAAATTAACTATGAATTCTTGGTATAAAAAAATCTTGCTTTGTTAAGATGCAGTTTAGCACATTTTGCAATATGCTTCCATTTAGAGATTATGACTTTAAAAGCCTAAAATAGAGACAATATTTAAAAACGATTAAGCTTAAGTAATTTTTAAGTATTACAAAATACTTTAGACAAATACAGAGGCCGAAACCAAAAACATTATATATATCTACTTCCCGAAAGCTGTATTTTATAGGAAAAATGTTAGTAGCAAAATGCAAAACTTAAATGTCAAATAAAGGAAGACAATGATCACTTAAAACAGAAGTCACATTCTTAGATGCAACACACCTCCAAACACTCTTAGGCTCCAAAAATGCTTTTAGGCAACATTAAAATTATCTATTTTACTATTTCTATTTTACCCTTGCAAAAGAAATTATCTATATTTTACGTTTAGATTTATAAGTTTTGCTTTTTCATAAATATACCACAACCTAAAATAGTCAAATACTCCCTCTGTCCCCCATAGATCTTTCCAATAGCCCTTTTTCTTTGTTCACAATAGATCTTCTCATTTCATTTTTTAATAATTAAAATACCACAACTACCTCCACTTACTTTATTTATTACACCTCACCCACCTCATTTAATACACTCCACCCATTTTTCATTAAGGGTATTATGGTAAACTTTCACATTTTTTCAACTCTCTTTAAAAACCACTAAAAGTCAAAATGAGAACATCTTAGAGGGACGGAGGGAGTACTTTGTTTTTGTAAAGTTGCTATCTAAGCCCCCAAAGTTGAGCTGTTTATTGTTGTTATTATCATCACAACGTGACGTATGTGCATCCCCCCAATAATGTTGCTTAGATTTTGGGCCTCACAATACCACATCATTCTAAACAACTCTACCAATACTTTACTCCAATTAAATTCGATTATCCTCACTCCCACCAAAAAAAAGTTCATCTTCGATTTACAATTTTTTACTGATATTATTTTTAAATTAATATAAGTAATAATTGGTATAAAATTAAAAAATAAAAATTGTACATTGAAAATTACATAAAAAATTCTACAAAACAAGTGGTAGCAATGTTATTTTATTTTATCAAATGATCGATAACAATGTATAGCAAAAATAGAGTTAGTTTGACTTGTAAATGGTAATTGAAAGCCTTTTTTGAAACGGAAGGAGTAGTAGTATTATATAGGAAAAATTACCCAAAATAATCCCAACTTTATCCGGTCTTTCAAAAATAATCCCACCTTTCACTGTGATGCATAATAATCCTAACTTTATTGAAATTTGCCAATTTTGAGTCGCCGTTAAGTTTCTAACGGAGGGTTAACGGAAATGCCCGTTTTAGGCAACAAAATGAAAGTTGGGATTATTTTTGATGAATTTTTGTTTTTCAATTTTTTTTGAAATTTTTATTTAAATATTTTGAATTACTTTCAACCTTCATTTCTTTTTCTTTTTTAAAGATTATTCTTACCTTAGAAAAAAAAGATATAAAAAATAATGAAAATGAGAAAAATAACTCAAACCATACAAAATTAATCAAATAAATAATGTAATCAATAGAAATTAAACAGAAACTGGTAAGAAATAAAATAAATATATACGGAGTGGTGGGTTTTAACATTTTACACACTATACGGAGTCTTAATGTACTACTTATTTTTTAAAAGAACAAGTCGTCATGTAAAGTTGGAATTATTGTAGATAATTTTTTCTAAAAAATAAGAATTAATATGTTAATACTTTGTATAGTGCGTAAAATATTAAAACCCACCCGTATATTTTTATTTTACTTTTACCAATTTCAAGTTAGTTTCCATTGATTACCTTATTTATTTTATTATTTTTGTATCAGTTTAGTTACATTTCTCATTTTTTTCATTATTTTATATCTATTATTTTATTTTTTTAAACTAAGACTAATCTTTAAAAAAGAAAAAAGAAATGATGATGGAGGTAGAAAGTAATTTTAAAAATTTAAATGAAAAATTTTAAAAAAATAAAAAAAATGAAAATTCATCAAAAATAATCCCAACTTTCATTTTGTTGCCTAAAACGGGCATTTCCGTTAATCCCCCGTTAGAAACTTAACGGCGACCCAAAACTGGCAAGTTTCAGTAAAGTTGGGATTGATATGCATTACAGTGAAAGGTGAGATTATTTTTGAAAGACCGAAGTTGGGATTATTTTGGGTAATTTTTCCTATTATATAGGGAGTATTTAAATTCAATTCAGTATGTTTTTGCCCCTGTATCATTCTTATTTTCTTAGATTTAGCTGAAGAATGATTTTAGAACCCCATTGGTCTCGAAATAAAATTTTACATCCGACGAATTACAATTATTTATGAAATAAATTTGTGTTGTTTAGATTTATACAGAGATCAAGAAAAATAACATGAACCATATCATAGTGAGTACTTAAATGTTTACAAATCATTGAGTAATTCATTGATAAAATAAAATATTCTTGTCACCCTTTATTTTTTTGAACTTTTGAAGTAACTTTTAAATATGTAAGTTGGACTTTTTATTTCTATACACATTTGTAAAGAAAATCATTCTAAATTAGATGAGATTTTACATGTTATTGAAATAGGAAAAGTTTTTTTATTGAACAAAGCGAGTATGTTGCAGAATTACCGTCCATCCCCTACAAAAATCGCCAGTGAACTCCAAGAATTAAGCAGCATTTCGTTCAACTTATTTTTTTTACTTATTACTTATTCTTATTATAATCAGATCAGACCAGATCAGAAACAGTTTTAATTATAATTGCAATCAGATCAAATTTTTAAAAAATCAGATCAGACCAGGTGAACGAAACGCATCCGTAGTTGCCCAATTTTTTGGAGTATTTTGTGTGACTTTTCCTAATATCTTTCATATTTTCACCTTCTTCTTACTTCTTTTTACCTCTACTGACTCAGTAGTATTACTATCCATTTTATTCTCATTTTGCACAGTTTTATGTTTTCATGCCACTCCTTTGTTCTCCTTTCTTCCTACATTTCCTCTCTGAATGTTTGTTCCAATCCTTTTACAGTAACTGCAGAGAACCGGGCACCATTTAAACTCCATTTGTCGAGTAATAACATTGTCATTTTTCACCAGCAAAGTAAATCTGTTCAAGTAAATCTTGTTTCATACAAACTCAACCAGTAATAAATTCATGGTGTAAAAATATACAAGATGTCCATCCAATAAATACAAGCAAAGAGCAATGGATTGTAAAAGACAAAAACACCCCCACAAATCATTCTTCTTCTTCTTCTTCTTCTTCTCCTTCTTCTCCAAGTAGTCCGGCGGCATCATCGCCGATGCCATCTAGCAACTTATCCACATCCTCACCGAGCTCAACCAACCTCCCACTCAGCCTCTCGACCTTGCTCTGTTCCTGTCCGAGGCAAACCAGAAGATCGTTCAGCTCAGATTCACTCTCCTTCTGAGCTTCTTCCCTTGCCTCTGCCTTTATCGCCTCCAAGTCGCCGCTTTTCAAGCACTTCACTTCCTCCTCCAGCTGTGCATTCGCCTCTTCCAGGCTGTTGTATGCGGCTGAGAGGCTCTGCAGCTCCGACTCCATCTTACTCGCCACATCTCTATACTTCTCGGCTTCCGATTCTGCCCCTGCCTTCTCTGCCTTCAACCTCTCCAACTTTTGGGTGACTTCCTGATGGTCTCGCCGAAGCGTCTCGATTTGAACTCTTTCTGAGCCTCTATGCTCCGCCTGAGATGAAGAATCGCCACTGCCTGTCCTGGCAAGATCCTCTGCCAATGTCGCGTTCCTACTCAAAAGTTCCTTAAAACACGAGGAAATGTCAAAAAAAAAAAAAGAACAACTTAAAACGAGTCATGTTTCGACCATTTTTTTGTCACAAAAAAGAGTAGACTTGTACCAAAGGAAGCTAAAATTTCAGGTAATTTTCTAAAAAGAGTCCCAAACAAGCTACTAAATTAGCTAAGCTAACTATGGAATTTTAGAAAATTGAAGCATGCTCATGAGTTGTGACAGTTATACCCATCCAAAAGTTAATAGTATATATCAAATAGGACTCTTTCATGACTGAGGGAGCATTGTTTTTAATAACTAATCGCCCCAAAGATTGTAAAACATGACAAACAAAGTCAAATTTTGGAGTAAATCATGATTTTTTTTGCAAAGAGAACTTTCATGTGAAGAAAACAAGACAATAATATAGGGAATTACCTGTATCTCGAAACACTGTTTCTGTACAAAGCTCTTCAACCTCTTGATGTATTCCCCATCACTTTCCCCACTCGTTTGCTCAAGCTCTGCTGGCACAACTGACACCTGGCTCTTTGGGTGACTGTACACTTGCACTGTCATTTCCCTAATTTCGGCCACCAAGTGTTTAACGAAAGTGACAAACTGAGAATCAAAGATAGATGCAAGCAGAGGATGATCATCAGTCCTCGGATCAGCTGACTCATCATCCATGTCATCAATCTCAGTCACGCTGGCAGCATTAGATCTCGTCAGTGGTTTGCGGGCCAAAGACGGCTTAGCAGATGTAAAGAGAACACTTTTCTGCATCTCATCGAACTTCTGGAAGTATGATGTGAGTCCAACTTTTTGGCTAATGGTGTCAACTATGCCTAAAGCATCCCTTCCGGCACCATTACTGTAAATAACACACTGTCCCATTAGTACTGCAGCCAAACCTCTTACAGGAACAGTGGCAGTGGAGTCTGACACCAACTCAAGCAAATATGTTAGGTGGGGACGTGAATCAAGGAAAGACTCCAAAGCACTCGGACAATCTGAGAGCCAAATAACTAGCAGTTTCAAGATAACAGCTTGAACTAAAGTGTTCTTGGATGTGTTTGATTTTCCATCTTTGCTTCTAATTGAGGCGAGAGCAAGGTACTTCACTAAACGGTGCATTATAGGCTCTGGGCCTCCTAATGAGGGCATAGGTGCTTCAAGTTCGACCCGTAGAACCTGCAGTAACCATTTTGGCATTATGAACAAGAAAACCCCTAGTATTTTGGTTAAATCAGATTTTCACATATGACCTTTAAAAACCTTTTCTTTGCACTGAGTGTTTCCATTGAGAATGTGAGAAAGAACACTGGCTGCTCTGCAACATGTCTGCATATGTAACATTATGACACCGATTACCAATCATACACCGGAACTATAGAAAGAAAAATATACTTCCATCAACTTAAGTTTTACCAGGGCACTTCCTTAATACGAACTAGTTGGGATCAGTGGCAATGTGGGGTTGACGTTATAATTATTAGAAAATCACAAGATTACTTGTGAGAATTTTATGGGAACATGTTGAGGTCACTGGAAGGTTGCCATAAATGACGGATTATGAGAAACAAGCATAACTTTGAAAATTTCTGGCAAATGCAAATGATTCTGGTTTCATCAAACAAATTTCTATACAAAATGTATTAAATGAAACTGTTTTTCTAAATCTCAGAAAAGACTAAACAGAAGATTTCTGGTCTAAGTTTTTTTTAGTCTTTGAAAAGATGCAGCTAAACCATGATACAAAAGTACCTTCTTGAATAAATAAAAGAAATTAGACGCATGTAACATTAAGGCTCAAAAGTACCCTCATTATACTAAGGTAACATTAAGGCTGTCAGAGTAACCCACAGCTCCAACAGCACTCAAAAAGTCTAATATGACGACTTGCAGTTGGAGCCATGAATAAGGTTCTGGTGCCCAGCGCACTAGTCATTCAAATCTCATCGCTCTTCCAAAGGTAACCCTAGTGATATAAGCAGTGTGTATATTACCTCAAGATTACCATCACTTTCACCCATTGTAAGACCATGTAACAGCATGCTGCCAAAAAAGCTCAATGAAATGATTAAAAGTTTAATGTTACCATACTGCTAATCTTGCAATGGCATAATTCAGCTTTGATGCAAGACAATGTTTGGGAAAAAAATTAACCACAGTACCACACCGTCCACACATAAAGTACCTTCCAAATGTCATGTTAACATCCTCCTCGGTAGGAGCATAGAGAGTTGAAACTGGCTGAGGAATTAATGTAGATGCTAACATTGTCTGACCCTCGGGATTTTTCTGCATCGAACACATAAAGGGATTAAAAGCAGTAGATTCTGAAAGCAACAACAACAACAACAACAACAACAACAACAACAACAACAACAACAACAACAATAATAATAATAATAATAATAATAATAATAATAATAGTACTAGTGCTAGTAATACTAATACGAAGTAGTAGTAGTAGTAATAATAATAATAATAATACTAATAATGATGATGATGATGATGATGATGCAAACACTCTACAACAAATCTCAAGAAATGAGTGGAGTATTCAACCGAGCAAAAGAGAAAAAGTATAAACCTAATGCTCCGTATATTCTCAATGCCACATGCAATTGCAAAAAAACACAGTAACATTACAATACACAAAGCACGAAACTAGCGGTGGTGAAACAAACCTCACAAAAGCTCTTAAAAAGATAATCAGCCGCGACAAACTCTTGTCTACTGGATGTACGAAGAAGGATACGAAGTACAGAATTCAAAGCAGGCTCCATCGGAGGCTCATCGCCTAGAACTTTTGTTGCAAGTGCTTCAAGATTCTTTGGTTGTCCGGCAATTAGATCACCAATGCACTGGAGTGCCTGAACCACATAAATGGACATAAACTGAATTCCAAGGTTTCCAAAAAGTAATTTAGTATTACTCTGTTCTGAAATTTTCTTCTCAATTTCGTTTTTGGGTTGTCCTAAAATTTACTTTTCATTTCCTTTCAAGAAAACATTTATATGGTTCACATTCATTCTGTCCCCTCTAAGTTTACCGGAAACTAGACAATTCTATTTTTCTTAATAACCAAGCCAAGCCAAAGTGGGAAGAAAAATATAGGACAGATGGAATATCTTTTATGAACTAGATTTAGAAATTTGGCTGGAGGAAAATGATAAAGGTTAGAGAGGTTTTTCGAAATATGCCTAGGTATGTTGATTACTCTCCTACAGTCCTACCAAAGGATACGTTTGGCTACAAGGTCAGAGAGACACTCCCCAATGGTCTACCTGGGTTTGGAATACATACACACTTCCTTAACATCAACTTATTTTCTGGTTGATTCTGAAGAGAAGACTCCAAACCAGAAGTACATTGGCTAGATATATGAATATTGGCTATTGCTTCTAACTGTTGCGTCCTATATGAGAAGGAAGAGGAAGAATTTGACCATCTGTTCTGGTACTGCTCTTTTGCGCAAAAAGTTCACACTTAGATTTTTTCCTGGCTCCAGTACAGCATCCAGAGGGTAGGGCTAGATGAAGTAGGGGCGGATATCATGAAGATTAAGCCTATGAAGCAAAGATGGATAGTTATGGCTAGTTGGGCAGCATGCTTTTACCATGTTTGGAGAGCAAGGAATAACAAACTACACCAGAAGTTGATAACTGAAGAAGAAACTGTTGAGAATATTAAGAATTGCATGAGTCTTTATCTCACAAATAGATTAAGCTTGTACATGTCCAGTTTTTATTCCTGAAGATCACTCTCCTGTATTTATTCCTGTTTGGTTTTCAATGAAATGCATTTCGGTTCAAAAAGAATAAAAATTTCATTAGATTAGGCCAACCTATATTAAAATACTCCCTCCGTCCAAAAATTAGTTTGACTGAAGTTATTTTCAAATCATTTTATACGAAAAATGGTTTGGAATTAAAAAATAAAAATTACATATTTAAACATTACATCAAAAGATCAACAAAACTAAAGGTGACATGACTATAGTATTTTATAAAATGGGCACTGAAATAGACCAACAAAGTGAATACAGTTTGACCCTGTGGATAGTGAACGGGAAGATAATCTTTGGACGGAGGGATTATGGTTTACTATAACACTTTGTTGATTGTTGAGAGAAAAATAGAGAAATGACTTGGATGAAATCAAGAACCAATTGGCTTACCGCACAACGCACAGGAACGGGAGCCCATTGACTTTCAACTCCCAGCATCAGAAGATGGTCCAGAATCTTTTTCTGCAATCGAAATAATGAGTTAGTCCTGGGAATCTAGATACCATACACAAGCAAATCATGAAAGAACATATCAAGAATCTAGAAATAAGAGGCAAGAACAAACCTGAACCAAGACTGTTTTGTTTGTCAGCTTGTTTGCATCTTTTCCAGGATCAGTTTCTGGCCCCCTCATTATAAGAATATTAATTGTTTCAAGCACACTGAGAAGGTTTATTGTCTACTGGCAATTAAATAAGATAAAAGAAGAGAAAACAATAGGATTAGGTGATCATATTTCAACTGCCAGTAAGGTTAAGGCAGATAAAAAATTCTGGAAATACAGAAATAGTTACGAATTTAACCTTCTGTTGAGTGAATTTGTAGGTGCTACCTCTGAGCTTCAGAATTTGTATGACAGAATCAAAGCCCACTGTCTCCCTGAGTAATACCTAAAACACATATAATGCTTTTTTAAAAAACAGGCAAGAAGGGCATACATATGTAATGACATGAATAAATAAGCACGGGGAGATACCTGATTTGATGCATTGTTGCGAATGATATTGTTCAACAATTCAAGGCAGTCCTGTACACAGTCATGTTTGATACTTAGAAGTATGCAAGATACTTATCCTATACATAAGTAAACGCATAATATATACTCCCTCCGTCCCAAAAATGAGTGATGAAACTAGGCAAATAACGATGATAAACCATATGAATAGTAAGTAGGAATATTTTTATGGGATGGAGGGAGTATTAAAGTACAAGTAAGGAGGTTTAAGAGCAGAACAAATGCAATATACAAAAATATTACAGAGCATTTCATGATTGATAAATGATCAACTGCAACTGCAGAAGTTCGGAAGTGTAAATGCTTCCCAAAATACCTGCACTACAACTCCTCCTTCTGAGCCTCCCTCCTCTTTCATAATGCTAAATATCTTTTCGAAGGCACCTTCAAATACCACAATTTTTTGAATTTCCTGAAGCTCACAAAACGAAACAAAATTAGGCAGAGAGAAAAAGGGGAAGACACATTTAATTAGTGATAGAATGAAACAATATCAGAGTCAGAGAGAATATTGAGGTGAGAACTTGCCTCAGCTTCGCGAGTGAGGTATGTAAGAAGTAACAGTGCCTCATTCCTAATAACCTTCATAACATTCCAAATATTAGAATCCAGAGCTTGAGAACAGATAAATTCATCATACTGATCATGACTTACATACCTCACGATCCATAAGCATGTCCATAAGTCGTGTAATACCATGAGGGATGCTCAGAATCGCTTCCTGTAGCCTAAAAAGTATTTCAGCAGTTTTTTCATGAATGATGGGTACAACAACAACAAACCCAAGAAAACCCGAGGGTCTGGGGAGGTTGTTTGTAAGCAGACCTTACCCCTACTTGAAAGTAGAAAGGCTGTTTCCAAGAGACCCAGCTCGAGCACAATCAATGTAAACCAGCAAAGAAGTAATGAATGATGCGTGTATGCAGAAATAATACTCCCTCCGACCCACAACGAAGTCTGCACTTACCTTTTTAGTGTGCCTCAAAATACAGTACACACTTCTTCCAGCTTCCTTTAAGTAAAGGAATATTTGGTTTAAAACAATTATCCATATCTTCTAAACAGATTTTGACCACTTGATTTTCACTTTTCAACACTTCTCTTAAAATCCGTGAAATCATTCATTTTGGGACGGAGAGAGTATGAAGGAAGCGAATGAAGAAAGTAACCATGTTAAAGATACCTATTTGCAGAATTTGTTAGAAGTGCTGTTAGCAGTTGCAGTGTGTAGTACCGTACATAAAAATCTTCCTCGGACTGTCAGCAAAGTAGAATAGAAAATTAATAGAAATTTTCAGAATTAAAAAAAAGTGTTTACTAATAAATTAAAGTAATAGGACCCTTACCAGCAAACTTAGAAGAAGAGAGATATTTTGTACATCTCGAGAAAGCAAGTCACTATTCATTAAAGCTGGTTGGACCTCATAGTTTGGCACTCTTCCATGACTAATTGGAGTTAAAGCAGCCACAAGAGTTTCCAGAGCCCCACGAAGCTTGGACCACCGAATATAAATAGATATTAAGATCAGGTGAAATTTAAAACATAAATTGAACTACAGTAAAAACGTGAAATCGTGATAAATAAGATTTCAGAATTTACAGTTCAAAGTGATGAAAGAACTGCGGTGCAGAAAAGTGGAGATACATTATCCAATAGCAAGTAAAACATTCTAACTAAACAAATAGAAACATCACTTTGGTAATTACAAAGCAGTTGCAAGTTTAAAGAGCAAGTCATATCAAGAATTTTTGTAAGGGATGTAAACAAAAGACGGTTGTCTATAAGCAGAAATTAACTAAAGTAACCAATGGGAGAATTGGCTTAGTAGGATAAAGACGAAGGATCATAATAGACCCCTAAATGCTTGGATATCTAAAAAATAGCAGCTAAAACTAAATGCCTTAATTTAGCAAACAGAATGTGGTTCAATTTGGTTAAAATAAATATCCTTCAAATGCACAATATATTCCTTGTGAAGTTTCAACATGCTGGGAAAAAAGTGATCAGGAACATGTAATTTTCACGAACACGTGGAGCCCAGTTGGTTAAGGATATGTGGTTGATATGGTTGAGTTTTGTTCTCTAAGGAAATGTGTCTTGGCAAAATCCATTTTAGCCAAATAAGTTAGTCAAAGCTACATATGGAGTATTATGCTTATTCATACGATTCTACATATTCCATCAATAAGTCCAAAATATAACACTTTGGGCACCAAACGGGCTTATAGCCTCCTTGATATAGTTAGCTGATGAAAATAAACAACAGTTTAAAACACCATGTTTGAGCAGACTGTCAAATCAAAAACATTGAAGAACAATCAAGCATACCATCTCAACATCATCTCGTTCTTCCTTTAAAACACTTAATATTACAGGAAAACCTGAAAATAATAGAACCTTGAAATGACTGATATGTTATGTAAAGTAACAACCCATCAAAGACTAATTGAGCAAGAGGAGAGCAGTGAGAAAAATAAACATGGAAATTCTCCCAAAATGACAAGCACGAACCCATTGCTCCAAAAGCTAGTTGCCCACCATGACTTTGGGAAACAATAGACTGTAGGTCCAAGATAGCATTTCTCCTTTCATCAGCCACTGTACCATTGCTAATGCGATCTAGCAAGCGCTCAACATAGCTGTGGCATAAACAATGAATTGGTTTTGGAATAAAGATTGCATCATAGCATGACATGATCTTAAACAATGAACATAACAAGTGGGTTTATATTGGGGTAGGACAGAGGAAGGCAAAGGCACTCTTTATTTGTTTGAAGTTTTTGTGAATTGTAAGAAATCATAGCCAAGTTCTCCCACTACATCCCATAATCCTTTTAAGAAACGTTGTGACTATGCAAATCAGCATGCATATTATCCACAGAATAAAGAAATCACTATCCCTTCACAGCTACTGAATCTAATTAAGTATAGCATTCCATATATAAATTATGTCTCTATTTCAAAAAATGGATTACCTGTCTTCATTTGAACTGGAACTATCATTGCCAAAAAGTTGTCCAACAACACCCTGCATAGGAACCATTCAAGGTTAACCACATGTAATGCTAAAGGTACATGCATTATCAATATAACAAAGACTAAGAGCATCCCAAAGAGCAAAAACAAACTTCTGACATCACAATATATACCTTTGCAATTAAAAAAGTGTCTTTTCTGTACTTAGAGCAAAAATATGAAGACGACTTTAAATTAGCTTCCATGGTGACTAAAATGGTTCAAGAAAATCCCATTTTAAGCTAATCATGCAATCTAGAAAATGAAAGAAGCTGAAAAGTACCTGATACTTGGTGACTAAATCCATTTCTCTATCAGCTGATCAGGATTCTTCAGTTCCTGGAATAAAACAAAACATTAAATTTTCCCACTACAATGAAACTCCAACATAAATTTTCAAAATTGGAAAAATCGAGATTTCAGGATTGAGCTAATTGACAGGTGATACCAATCGAAATTGAATGAAAAAAATCCCTAGATTGACTGTTTTTTCCTCCGCTGCAGTAGAGAGATCGCTGGAGAACGAAGGAAAGAGAAATACTTGAACACCCCGGTTGGGATCAAAATTAACAAATCATAATCGGACAAAACTATCCATCTCACTTCCAAAATACGCCGATTTCAGCAATGAAATTCGCAGGCTGAAGCTCGAACCAACCAACTGCACCGGGTATTAGTATTATTACTGAAACACCGAAAGGAAGAGGAAGAAGAGGCGCGCCATGTCAATGACTGGTTCGGGCAGTTACCTCTGTGCGAACGGGAGAGATCAATTACTTGACCGGAGCTATGCCGGGTTTGGATTCTTTTCTTTTTCTTTTTAGTACAGCCCGACCTGTTCTTGGTTCTTTTATCTATCGGGCTTTACATTACACGAATAAACTAGAACGGCCATGGGCCAGGGCACTACTGCGATCCTTTTGATTTCTTTACACTATTTACCGTAGTACTCTCCAGTAGGGATGCATACAAATCAAATAAAATGTATTCGATTCGTGATTCGTATTCGAAAAGAATGATTCGTATTCGCTATATTCGAATTCGAATCTGAATACAAATCGTATTTTAGATTCGAATTATTTTCGAATCCGAATACAAATATTAATAGATTCGATTCGTTTATTATTCGAATTATTCGAATATTATAATTTATAAATAAATTTATATATATTCTAATATACGGAGTATTAAATATTTGTGTACATATTTTAACATATTTTAATATATTAAATTTTTGTGTACATATAAAGTTATATATATTCGAATATTATAATTTATAAATAAATTTATACGGAGTATATTCTAACATATTTTTACTACATTTTATATTATTATAAAATAATAATTTAATGTCTTTAAGAAATCTGTTTTAAGAAAAAAAATTATAATATTTTCAAATTCGAATATTCGAATACGAATTCAAATACGTCAAATATCTATCAATCGAATACGAATGTTTTTTAAAATTCGAAAGATATACGAATCCGAATTCGAATACATATCACTTTAATCGAATACGAATCAAATAGTGATATATTTGCTTCGATTCGATTCGTATACACCCCTACTCTCCGGGATTCTTCCGTCCCAGTTTAAATTATCTATTTCAGTTTACCGACTAAAGCTATTTTCAAAACACTTTTTATGAGAAATGATGTAGAATTAAAAATAAAAATTATTTATTTCAAAATGATATTAAAAGATTTACAAAATTGATGATGACATGAATATATTATTTTATAAAATGGCTAACGAAAATAAAAAAAGATAGTGTATGAAGTGTGATTCTATGAATAGTAAACAAACAAATGAATTTGGGATGAATGGAGTACTTTTATACTCCTTCCGTCCAAAAGAATGTCACATTTTGTTTTGAAGAACTTTTAAATATGTAATTTTTTTTTCTATTTCAATCTTTAAATAAAATATGTAAACATATAGCTGTGTCATTTACTACTTTCTTTATATCTGGGATGACACATAAGATGTTACAGCACCCTGCAAGTCTTAATCACACTGTAACTTGTGATGTACTCCCTCCGTTTGCAAAAAGAATTCCCATTTTGATTTAGGGCAAAAATAAGAAAGTGTTAAATTATACTACCTTCGTCCCACTCTCTTTGTCCACTTTTGACTTTTGAAACTGTTCATCTAAGCACTTTGACTCATCAAATTCTCTCAATGTGTAAGCTTAAATATAGTCATGTGTGATCTTGTTTGATTTGTTTTAACATATAGATTATTAATATATAATTTCTGTAATTTTTTAATATACAAATTACAAGATAAAATGGATTAAAGAAGTGCATTGGATGGTGTACCAAAAGGTAAGTGGACAAAGAGAGTTGGACGGAGGGAGTAGTTGATTTCCAATTTTGTCCCGGATGTGATAAGTAAAAGTAAAATGTGATGGATAGATTATTAGAGAAAAAGTATGATGTGATAGGTATGGTATGAAAAAGTAAGGGTAAAAGTGTGTTCTTAATACTCCCTCCGTCCATAATTAAAGTTCCCGCTTTCCTTTTTTGGATGTCCACAATTAAAGTTCCCATTTCCATTTTTGGCAACTTTCTTTTATTAAAAAGACTCAATTGCCCTTGTTATCTTTTACTTTTCCTCTCTCCTTTCCTCTCCTCTCCCTTTTTTCTTTCTTTTTTTTTCCTTTTTCCCGTTCCTTTTTCTTCTTTTCTGTTCTTCTTTCCTTCTCACTCACTCTCTTTCTCTCTCTCTCCTCTCTCTCTCTTCTTCCCCTTCTGATTTTTTCTTACTTTTCGTTCTTCTTCTTCTTTAGATTTTTCCTTTCTTCTTCTTCTTCTCCCTTTCGATTTTTCATTTATGTTCTTCTTCTTCTACTACTTTTTCTTCTTCCTCTTCTTCCCCCTTTCGATTTATTCTTTCTATTCTTCTTCCTCGTCGTAGATCTGAGAAAACCGATTCAGATCTGTGAATCGACGAAGCATTGTCTTCAAATCTTTTTCATCTTCATCTTCTTCGGGGTCGATGAAGAAATCCGATTCAAATCTTTTTCACCTTCTTCGAGTCGCCGGAATTTCACACTGGCCAGAAATTCGCCGGAATTCGATCGCTGGAATTTCTCTCTCGAACGACGGGGTTGGACTGCAGGAATTTGGGACAGGCCTTGGCGGTGGGGGCGTGGGTAGCGTTAGGCCTCGGGAGTCTGGTGGGGGCGTGGGTAGGGTTGAGGGATATTTTGGGAAAGTCAATGTAAATTTTTACTTTTATTAAACTCCGTGCCGGGTCAAAGCGGGAACTTTAAATGTGGACGGAGGGAGTAGAAAGTTGAAGTGTTTTGTTGGAAGTGGAAAAAATGAAAGAGGAAGTGTTTTTGAGAACGGAGGGAGTACTTCCTCCGTCCTAAAACTTTCTTCTCAAAGAGTATTTACATGGTCAAATTTTAATTATTTTCTTTACATTTTTCATTAGTTATTTGATAAAATAATATAGTCTTTATTCGCACCATTTTTCTTATAAAATACTTTGAAAATAGTTTAAGTCAGACATCATAACTCGTAATGGGAAGATAATTTTTAGACGGAGGGAGTAGTTTTAAAATATGTAAATTTTATTTTTTATTCTACCTCAATTGTCTTATAAATGGAATCTAAAATAATTTCAGGCAAGACTATATTATTTTATTAAATCGATAACGAAAATAGGTCAACAAAGTAAATAAGGTTTGACTATGTGAATAGTAAACGATAAGATAATTTTGGACGGAGGGAGTATATCAAAAGCTCTACAAAACTAATAATCGATTATATCGTTATTTTGTCAAATGACAAACGAATTGAAAATAAATAAACAAAGTGATTAAAATTTAACTTTGTGCATGTATAATATACATCTCATTTAATTTGGAATTGATTAGGAGTAGGACATTATGTTTTAGTCAAGTTTCACAAGATTAATTTAAAGAAGAAAGACGTGTATATAATATATACACACATACATATATGGAGTATAGACACACTCGCATAGCTAGGAAGTATACTGTATATATGTATATTTAGCATTGACCCTCTCTCTGGAGAGCTCTCTCACACCATCCCCACACAGAGAAAGAGAGAGAAATTAAAATCCGATATGATGAACACAGAGTTGAGGTCATCATCATCATCATCATCATCATCATCATCCCTTTCCCATTCTTCCATCAGCTACCCCTCCATCTCTTTCTTCTTCTTCCATATCATCATCTATTATTGATTCTCTCTGTCTGTCTTTGAAAAACACAACTAGCTCCTGCATATTATTATTTTCTTGTTTGGTTTATTCTTATTAGTTAATTATTAGCAGAATATAATATATACCCAGTTTCATTGGAGAGATGGAGGGAGAAAGAATAAACAGGTTTGGGCAAGCACGGAAGTGGATAAAGATTGGATCTTTTTTGTGCTGAAAAAGGTATACTTATGATAATACAGATTCTTTGATTGATGTTTTCTCAATTCCCCTTTCTGCTGTGAAGTAGTGGTCAAGTCGCCTTTCAACTCCTGGCCTGTACGTACGGATTCGTGGTTAATTGGGATTCCACGCCTTTAAAAGGGGTAAAATTGTCCATGTGGTTTCCTATGGATGGCGGCGGCGGTGGCGGTGACCAAGGGGGAGAACAAAAGCCGACTCTCCGGCCACCTCCGATGGTCACGACCACAGGGTACTGGTACTCTGACCATCACCAGATTCCCCAGCCAGAGATCTGCTACCACAATAACACTCCGGGTGACATGGAAATGGTGGGGTGGAAGAGTTTCCTCAACAAGGCGGCGGCGGCGGCACCCGGTAGCGGCGCTCCGTCCTCCTCATCCAAGGCGGCGGCGGGACTTTCCTCCGGCGTGTTCTACGCCCATCCCCACCAAGAATTCTGCAACGCCGCGTGGGTTGACCAGGGGGGCAACAACAATGACGACGAGTCTTCCTCCTCTCTAAGATGCGTGACGTTCCCTTGCGAGGGGAGCGAGAGGCCGAGCCAGGGGCTCTCGCTCTCCCTCAGCTCCGCCAACCCCTCCGCCATAGGGCTACAGTCCTTCCAGCTAAGGGCTGCTGCTAATCATCATCATCATCCCGGCGGCAATAATAATAATAATAATAATAATAATAATAATAATAATTGTGGGTATTTTGAGATGAGGGAGTCCAAGTATCTGGGCGCTGCTCAGGAGCTCTTAAATGAGTTCTGTAGCCTTGGAACTTCCGAAAGCAGCGGCCATAATAATAATAATAATAATGGTTCCAGAATAAAGGAGAAGAAGAAGATGGCCTGCAACCAATGGCAGGATGGGGAGGAAAGTACAACCCATAATGCTGCCGGTACTACCTCTGATTGCAACAGAAACCCTTGTTTGGATTCCCTTGACCTTCTTGAATTGCACAAGACCCAAACCAAGCTCCTTCATATGCTCCAAGAGGTATACTTTTCACTTTCTATTTTTATACTCAACTTTTTAAATGTAATCTTATCACTAATCTCTTCTTAATTAAGCGTCACGTACATGATATGTCCCTTTGACTTTTTACGGTCTCTTAATTAGTTCAACATTTGATTCACTTTAATCGCGTGAATTAAATATTTTGGGAAAAATTACGATATAAAATGAAAATTATTTACGAAATGAGTCTTATAAGACCATTTTTACATTATCAATCATTCAAATTAATTATTGTCACAAAGTGTGTGTGTCTTGCTAGCTAGGTAGCTACTTAGGAAGGAAACAATTAGTGGTTTTGCTGGTTTAAATTACATATTTGAGCTAGACTCCAAATGAGTAGATCATATTATTAGTTGATAAAAACTGTATTGACTTGGGAATTGATACAAATAATGTTCAAAATAACTAATACCAGTACTAAAAACACAATATTACAAACTCTCTCTTTATGTTGGGGGAGGAGCGCTATTTAGAGGAGTTACACAGAGATGTATTTTTTATATATATATCACAATTATATTACTCCCTAGTATTTCCATTTTGAAAAGAGAGGTGTTGAAATTAAAGGGGTTTTACATTATCTATCCCAAAATGTTTTTCTTTTATTTTCTAGATATTCCAAAAAACTCAAATAATTTCTTTCTTAAAAAGAATCTTAATTACATAATTATTAATCCGTATTATTATTGTTTTATGAAAATGTGGTCTCAAAAAACGTACAAAAAGAACAAATTGGAAGAACAGGAATCGTACTTCTAATCATATCATCTTGTATTGTTGACAAATAACAGAAAAAATATCCGTCAAATAATTTTTTCCATGGAAGAGGAAGATTGAGTTGGCCCGGCTTGGGTATTTTGGAGACTTTTAAATGCGTTGAACTAATTAAGCGACTATCATTTCCCTTGTTTTAATGCCCACATGGTTGCAAATGATAGTCCACATTAAGGCCCTTTCCTTTCAATATCTTATTTTATTCTACTTCTCCAAAAGTCTTATTCAAAATCAGATAAAAAGAGAGTGAGATTTTTGTATTTTAATTTCAAAATTCATCGAGATAGAGGAGTATATTTTAACATATAAAGAAACAAAAAAGTTATACTCCGTATATTTTTTAGTTTTATTGACTACAATTATAGTTTCCATCGATATTGTTTCAAACTAATTACGTACAATGTACTGTCTTTTAATATGGGTACTTATCCATTTTTTTGTACCCTTTTCCTAATAATAATCGCAAGGGTTTTTTTTTGTTGGCAATTACGGAGTATGGCGCAAGGGTTATTTTTTAAGAAATAAAAGGTGAAGGTTAAAAGGGGACAGTAGTGTATTATTGGAAAATGGAAACAACAAAAAGCTCCGATCCTATTTTAACTTTTAGGGCTGTCAATTGTCATTACCCTTTTTCTATTACTCCCTAACTAATGTTGCAACTATAATTGGTGTATTAATATCGTGAATAATGCTAGAGTGCTACTACGTTAGTACACTCCTACTTTGCACACACAAACACTGATGATAATAGTCCGTATCGTACTGACGATTAACGCATGTGTTTGTGTATAATATACTCCGTATTGAATAAAACTTCCTCCATCCCGAAAAACATTTCTGAATTTTACTTTTTAGTATTTTAGTGACGTGTTTTTTGGCGTTTGATTTTCAAACTTTACCCTAAGGATTTTTTTTTTGGAAAAAAAGAGATGCTTCAAACCATGAATAGTGCTTAATAATGTGAAAGAGTAATTAAAGAGTAAAAAAGTAATATGAGATGTGATAAATGTGATGTGGGAAAGTAGAGTTAAAGAAGGGTATTATAGTTCATTTTGGAAAAATTAAAATATTTTATGTAACAAGTAAGATGTGAAGATTGAAATGTTTTGGGAATAAATGGAATATTTGGGTAACCTAAATTTGATACCAATTTTTACACTATTCTTCTCACCATTAACACCGAAGAATGTCCAAGGTTAGAAAGAGTGTAGTGTCAGAATTGGTGTTAAATTTGGGTACATAAAACATTTTTGCAATGTTTTAGATGAAATTGTTGGTGTAAATCTTAAGACCAAATCATTACTTAGTAATAATTAATGTCGGTTTGTTTGTTTGTGTTGGCATGACTAGGTTGATAGGAGATACAAGCAGTATTGCGATGAAATGAAGGCGGTGGTTTCCTCCTTCGAGGCGGTGGCCGGAGACGGGGCGGGGAAGGGGTACGCCGCCCTAGCGGCGAAGGCGATGTCGAGGCACTTCCGGTGCCTGAGAGATGGGATCGTGACCCAGTTGAAGGAGGTCAAGAAGGCCGCCGCACAAAAGGACGGCCCCGTGGCGGCGCCGGCGTCCTCCTCCGCCGCCGGCGGCACCACCAAGGGAGAGACGCCGAGGCTCAAAATACTGGACCAAGCTCTCCGGCAGCAGAAGGCGTTTCAGCAAATGAGCATGATGGAAGCCCACCCGTGGCGGCCGCAGCGCGGCTTGCCGGAGCGGTCCGTCTCCCTCCTCCGCGCTTGGCTTTTTGAACACTTTCTTCACCCGTACGTATTTACCTCTACCCTTTACTCAATTACTACTCTCCATGCCTCACAATGCTTGTTTGGATTGATTTTATCATCAAATTAAATTTTATAAACTTTAATAACCAATTATATTAAAAAATTATACACACCCAAAACACAAAATTAATCTCACGGGCATATGTGCATATTAATATGTATCCATATGTGGGTATGTAATAATAAAAATCCAGTGAGATTCAGGTTTGGGTAAAACTTGAACTATTCTTTTTTCTCTTTTTCCTCCCTTTATTTTATACTCCATTAGTCTTAAAACAATCTTTCTAGGAACTGTTCACATGGTCAAACTTTAATTGCTTTTTTGCATATTTTTGTTAGTTATTTGATAAAATGTTATAGTCATATTACTTCTTGTTTTATACTCCCTCCGTCCCAAAAAGATTTACATTTTTCAAAAAAAATTGCGTTCCACAATCCCTTACTCATTTCTATTAAAAAACCACTTTTACTCCTTACTTTTTCAAACCCTACCTATCACATCATACCTTTTTTCTAATAATCTACACATCACATCATACTTTTACCCATCACATCAAGGATATTTTTGGAAAGTCAACACAAAATTATCACTTCCTTAATTTCTACTTTAGTCAAAACGTACCCATCTTTATGGGACGGAGGGAGTACAATTTTTGATGAAGTTTTTAAAATATACGGAGTATAATTTTATTTTTAAATTTTACACATATAGTCAAATAAATTAAATTGGAAATAATTTTGGCCAAATCTCGTAAATTGAATTGGAAAGATCATCTTGAAACAGAGAAAGTAATTGAAGTTTCTTTTGTCATCTGGATTTATGGGAGGTAGTCCTTATTATTTACAATATTCATTTTGACCTTGAAATAAAATCGGAAACCCCCAATATTATTTCATTTTGTTACCAAAGGATATATTTCACTCAAAGTAGAAGGAAAGTTTGATGGGAGAGAGTAGAAAATTAATTGATCAAGTCAATGCATTTTTTTGGTTTCTTTTCTTTGTCTTTTGTTTATTGCGAAAAGTTTGCTTTGAATTATTTGATGTTGAGTTATATGGTGGGATATGGCACGTACAATAATGTATTCTCATCAATCATTGTTGAAAAATATGCATTTCCTCTTCCCTATAAAATTTTTAATACTTGGCCTTTTTATCAAATTTTACAAATTTTGATTATAAATTATGAAAAAATTACGTGTATTAAATTTTATTAAATTGTTGTGATGCATCAAATCTTATAACACTTCTTTCAATACATTATATTTAATTTATGGTCAAATATACTGAAAATTGTCCAAAAAAATCGAACTTTGAGAAATTTTATGAGAGGGACAAGACATTTTATTATTGGAGATGTGTTCTTCTCCAGCAATGTGTCCCGTAACTCTGATATACACTGTCATGTTCTTTCTTTCTTGGTGCTAATATTATCCAACAAAATTACCAAACCAATTTCCTTAGGTTTTTTCCTTTAAAAGGTTCAACTAAAAGTATGTCTTTGGGAGAGTGTTAGCTTTTTGACAAAAGTAATTTCTTGAACATTAAATTTAATGTTACATTGGTGATGTTTGTCTGTTTTTGTTTTGAAAATAATATTTTCAATTAGTGTTATTATTTTGATCAATTTCTTTTAATAGTTCTTTACATAAGATCTACTACGTCGTACTTTTTTTATTCTCTTGAATAATAGATGGCAGGGATTAAGAGATTTAGAAGATAAAAATTACTAATTTTACAAACAAGGTATCTTAAATATTTCAAAATGATCCGGTGTTGGTGCTACCGGTCTTAAGCTGTGTGTTAACTGAGCCTAGTCGTTTACAAATAAGAAGAGTGTATTGTTTCCTGCCACGTTGGCCACCCGTTCCATCACGGGGCTAGCCCGTGGAAAAAATTTAAAAAAAAAAGAACCGGAAAAAATGAAAAAAAAAAAGAAACTTAAATAAAAAACAAAAAAAAAGGGAAGGAAAAGTAGTTGTACTAGATGATGAGACAGGTTGCCACTGAAGAAAACATTAACTCTCAAAGTACTTTTGTTGTTTTATGGGAAACTCTTTTGTTGCAGGTACCCAAGTGATGTGGATAAACATATTTTAGCCCGCCAAACAGGCCTTTCAAGAAGCCAGGCACGTCCCTTTCTCTCTCCCACTACCTCCCTCCCCTTTTCACTTTAGGGTAATCATCATTTCGGTATAAACAAGAATCTCAACAGTAAATATATATTGTTACCCTACTACTAGCATGGAGCAATCCCCTTCCACACCACTTTTGACACCAACTTTTTGGGTGTCAAACTAATTAATTAACACCTAAAATGTAGGTCATTTAATTTTGCACACAAACTTTTATGTAGTCTTAAAATCCATGCTCATTTTGTAAACTTTAGTATATAAATAGAAATATTTGTACTAAATAGCACTAAAACTTAAGTCATTTCCTTAAATAGCAATTAAATTGTTTTATTCCCTAAATAGCACTTTATAATGTCCATTGATGACGAATATTTGCTTGAATAATGACTAATGCATAATAACTAAAAGTGCTACATTGGGAAGAAAAACACATGTGGTGCTATTTAGGAAAAGTCATTATGTTTTAGTGTTATGTACTACATACTCCCTCCGTCCACAAATAAATTTTACGTTCACTATTCACATGGTCAAACTTAATTTATTTTGTTGGTCTATTTTCGTCACCCATTTGATAAAATGATATAGTCAGGTCACCTCTAGTTTTGTAGATCTTTTGATATAATTTTTTTATATGTAGTTTTTATTTTTCAATTCTACACCATTTTTCATATAAAATGATTGGAAAATAATTTCAGTCAAACATTGTAACGTGTAATATAAAGTTTATTTATGGACGGAGGGAGTACTACAAACCAAGATACCAGAGAAAGAATAAATATAATGTATGGATTGAATGACATGATATCACATATGAATGTGTGTGTAGGTGTCTAATTGGTTCATCAATGCAAGGGTGAGGTTATGGAAGCCCATGGTGGAGGAGATGTATCTAGAAGAAACTAAAGAACAAGAAAACCCACTTATTGCCAACTCATCATCTGCTGATGACACCAACCCAGATTCCGGCAGCCGTAACCCTAGGACGACGTCCGACGACGACACGGAGGACCGCAAGCCCAACAACCTCGTACGCGTCGACATCTCCTCCATCTTCAACAACAACGACAACCCCGGTGGTGGGGCCACCGGTGCTGACGGCGACCGCTGGCGGCCCACCTTCGGGGGAACGACAGTTGGTGGGGACCACCGCTCGTTTGCCCACGTCGGCTTCTCGCGGCCGCCCGACCCGGCCTGGGCCCACGGGAACCCCGGCGGGTCTTTCGGGTACGGGGCGCGGGCCGGAGGCGGCGGCGGCGTGTCGCTGACGTTGGGGTTGCAGCAGCAAGGCGGGAGAGGAATGGGTTTGGCGGCCGCATTCTCTCCCTCCTCCGCCGCTTCCGGCTCGACGGCGGCGGGGCCTCCGCCGCCGCTCTTCTACTCTAGACCTGACCAAATCGAAGATTGCCAAACAGTGCCTTATCCGCTTTTGGACAGTGAAGGTCAGAATTTGCCGTACAGGAACTTGATTGGGGCGCAGCTGCTTCGCGATTTGGCGGGTTAATGAGGGAGATGTTAAAAGATATGATAATTATAATCTAAATTAATTAAAAGTTACAAATTCAATCAGTGCAAAAAAAAGAAGAATTAGTAGTATGATTAAACCATGTTGATTGATTAGTAGTGTTTGTCATTACCTTGCAGTTCTTTAAATTTGTTGGTATTAATATATGACAAGTACAATTTATAAATATATTAAGTATTGTATATACTGTCTATTACCTAGGGGTGTGTTTGGTAAGCAAAAAAGTTTAAGGATATTTGTGCATTTTTGAAAGAGAAAAACAGGCACTTTGTATAGAATTCGAAAGTAAAGCACATGCTTTTTAAAAAGTATTGAAACTAAATGGAGTGGTATTAACTTGTTTTTGGTAAAGGGAAAACATTATTTCATTTATAATGATCAATTTATAAAAGCACACAAATAAAGGAAAACTTATATAGTTCTAAACTAAAATAATGCTCCATATTTGAGAATTTCATTAGGGAATGGAGGGAGTTAGTTCCTTGACCTAGGGGTTTTTTTTATGTGTAGATATCTAGATAAGAACAAATAATTTTTAAAAAAAACATATACTCCCTCTGTCTCACTCTTTTTCTCCATTTACTTTTTGGCACACCATCTAATGCACTTCTTTAATCCGTTTTATCTTGTAATTTGTATATTAAAAAATTATAGAAATTATATATTAATAATCTACTCCCTCCGTCCCAAAAAGTTTGTTACGTTTAGAAAAAACTGTGTCCCGTAAAGTCTGTTACATTTCTATTAAAAAACCACTTTTACCCCTTACTTTTTCATACCCTACCTATCACATCATAACTTTTTCCTAATAATCTACTCATCACATCCTACTTTTACCCATCACATCAAGGGTATTTTTGGAAAGTCAATACCAAAATATCCCTCTCTTAATTTCTCAAAAAGTCAAACCATCTCATTCTTTTTGGGACGGAGGGAGTATATGTTAAGACAAATCAAACAAGATCACACATGAGTATATTTAGGCTTACACATAGAGAGAATTTGATGAGTCAAAGTGCTTAGATGAACAGTTCCAAAGTCAAAAGTGGACAAAGAGAGTGAGACGGAGGTAGTACTCCGTAATAGTGATTAAGTAGGTCGGCGTGGATTAACATGAAAGGGGTGTGAAATACTCTATATATAGGGGGTGTTTGTTTTTCTGCCAGAAGACCTTCTGGCGTCTTTTGTCTGCGCCGCGCAGACGCGCGCAGATGATGTGCTCTGCAGATTGTTTGTTTTTTGCAAGACATTTCACTCAAAAAGGTCTTCCTGGCATCTTCTTGGAGAAGACATTAACCAATGTCTTCTAACATCTTCTAACATCTTCTCCTTTTTTTTCTACTTCTCTTCACCACCACAACCGTCCACCTCCACCGTCCACCACTACCACCGTCCACCGTCACCGTCCATCACCATCGTCGTCCACCACCACCGCCGTCAACGTCCACCACCACCCTTCACCACCACCCTCCACCACTACCACAATCGTCCATACACCACCACCGTACACTACTACCATTAATTTATATAGCAATCTACAGACATTAAAAAACAAATAGTCTTCTTCTTGCAGACTGCAGACCTTCGATCCACCACTTCTCCTGCAGATGTCTACAGTAGTGGTCTGCAGACTGCAGACCTTTTCCTGCAGAAAAAACAAACACCCCCATAGTGTATTGAATGATTTGCGGTGGTGATTTGAAGATCCAAAGTTGTAGGGGCACTTAAATTGGAGATTTTTGTTTATGTATAGGACAAGTCAATTAAAGGTTACAATCTTGAATTGTTCCCACTTATTTTTTCAAGATTTGGACCTTTCAAAAGCAAATTATAATCATCATTATTTCATGCATAACCAATTGTGGTCCATATATTCGTTTGAAATGAAAACGGTATCGATCAGGGCGGCTCAGGCTCCGGAATCGTTTATTTTATGCGGATGACACTGGTGGCTGACAATAGAGTCTTGATTTGGTTCCTCGATCTAGTTCGAGTATCAATTTTCGACATTTTTTTTTATAATTTAAATTGAAAGACTGATGGAATGTTTTGAGTATGAAATTATACATAGCTTCATTTAAAAGAAATTAAAGTTTTAATTGCTAAAAATTAAAGATAAGCCAGGCAAATGATCAACGAAAGGCAAAATTGAGATTCAACTCTTGGGTAGAGAAAAAGATAGCTCAAGTGTTCAAGGTGGTTTGGAAAATTAGCACCAATACATTCTCTATTTTAAAAATTTATTTCTAAAATTCTCGCACCGTCTAAAAAAGTCTTTAGGATTGAGATGCCCAAAAAAATATTCATTTTAATTTTTTTCTTTTCTCTTATTTCTTATTTTATTCCTCATTTTTTTGAAGTTCCCAAAAAGGTTTTTCTCTTTTATTTCAGAAAACAAAAATGAAAAAAATTAAGTTGAGACGTACAGATGCAGTATATGTTAATTATTCCATATTTTTTATCTAAACACAAATAGTTTTAAATTGAAGAACATTATAAAATAAATTTAAAAAGAAATTAAAAAACCTTCATACCTAAAGGAAACAAATGGAGTAAATTATATAAAAGGTCCCCAGTTATAGGTCGTTTTACATATTTAGTCCCTACATATCAAATATTACTAATTTAGTCCCCAATTATTATATTTATTTCCACGAATGGTCCTTTGTTAACATTTTCGTTAAGAACGTGGATAAAATTGTGTATTCATACTTCTCTCTCTCCTCAATTAAGCTTTCTTCATCTTCTCATACTCTTTCCCAAACTCGTCGCTGAGTTTGAAGCTCTCAAACCCAAAATTTAAATGATCGTTCCTCCAGTTAGACAAACAATTGAGAGAAGAGTGATGATTTTGGTTTAGGGTTCAAAGCTAGAAACTCAGCGACGGGTTTGAGAAAGGAGTACAACGGAGGAGAAAGCTTAATTGAGGAGAGAAAGGAGTGTGAATTTATAATTTTATCCACGTTTTAATGAAAATGTTAACAAAGGACCATTCGTAGAAATAAATATAATAATTGGGGACCAAATTAGTAATATTTGATATGTAGGGACTAAATATGTAAAACGACCCATAACTGGGGACCTTTTATGAAATTTACTCAAACAAATGGAAAAAATGGAAAATTCTCAAAAACAAATGAAAAAAAGAATTGACGACTAATGCCTCATATGGTCTGGAAAATAGACATCAATACTCCCTCTTCACAAGCGTTTTGAAACCACTAAGATTTTAGGCTTAGGTTTGGCAAAAGCCAAGAGTTAATCCAACAATCATTTCACACACAAAGTCTATATATTTTCCCTTTCTTTCGCGTACCATCGGTCTTCACTTACATGGAAAACATGTTTGTGCACTTTAATGAGCGATATGATCTTAATCATAATTTGGAAGACGTAACACTAAGCAAATTGACATATTTCAGACCGGTGTTGCATTAACTTAATATTTCAATGCGTAATATTCAATGATGCTCCCTTTGTCACATATTTAGGTTGTCACTTCTTTTATGGATGTCTTAAATTAAAATTTCTACTAATCGTGGTACGTGTTAGGAACGAGTTCGATCTCTGGATTACTTTATTACTCCATCATCTACCTTTTCCGTCTCAAAAAACGTTTTAGCAAGTGTTTGACTTTCACAATTTGTTTTTAAAAAAACTTAGAAATGATAATGAAGAGTGATGAGTTAAAAAAGATGGAATAAATAGTGTAAGAGTGTACTAGCTCAGCTCCATGTAATGTCATCCGGCCGTATGTTTGTAGGGGGGGGGTGCAAATCCCCAGAACTGAAGTTAAGGTATAGTTGTGGTAGGATGGCATCTCTGACTTTGTGGGGCAAAAGAAATCTCTGCATGCTTTTTATCAGAAAAATTAATTAGTTTTTTTTCAAAATAAAAAAAAAAAGTAGAAAAATTGAATTCAACCCTGAGAGAGAGAGAGAGAGAGAGAGAACAAGAAATAGATGCCAAGAAATGTTGCCAAAAGTAGGTACTGTGGATGGGGAGTGGGAGGTGCAATATGGCGTGGTCCATTCTTTCCATCTGATTCCCTTATTAAAAACACCACTACGTACGCACCCCTCCCAAAAAACCATTCATTCATTAAAGCCCTCCCCACCGATCTATACTAGGACCGTGCACCCTTTTCTACATCTTCTTCTCTTCCCGAGTATGAAAAGTAGGTAATTGGATTCGGGTTATAGAGATCTAATTAACCAGGTAAATAAAGATACGCGCAAGAGTACAGTAACAAACACAATAAAGAATCACTTAGAATGAGATAAATCTCTCGATTCTGAATATATTTCTTACTCTTTCTCTCGAGTGTACTGGATATTGTGTAAGTGGAAGTGATTTGTCCTCTCCTATCTCTATCACAGATTATTTATAGAATAGAGGAGACTCAGTAGGTGCATGGAAGCTGCTCACTTAAGGACAAATAATCAGACAGCATCCATTAACATACAATCAGAATATATTGATTGAATATAAATCTAGCTAGGATGGTGCCAAAGAACTTTCCCACATTGATCTTTTGAGTGATGGGTGTGGGTCCCCCCGCTGATCTCCTAGATACTAGGGTTTGGGGGCGACGGATCCGTCCGCCGTGATCTCCAAGTCGTAACCCAAAAGTGAGATCGGTCAAATTGTATGCAGCCCGAAACTTCATTCCTCAAAGTTTAGAGGAAGTCCAAGATAATGACCGGTCACCTAACGCGGGAGGTGACCGGTCACCCAACACCTTCTCAAAAATAGCCTCACATGTTCACCCTCGAAGACCGAAATCGTGACCGACCGGTCACCTAACTTCGGGGGTGACAGATATGCTGCAGAGAACATTCTGCAGCACTGTCACAGTAGCAGATGACAGATAGCGCGCTATAACACTTCTCTGTCACAAGCACACACAAAAGCAGACGATGCAGAGGGCGTTACATCGCCTACTGGGCAGAATGCTGTAACTATAAAATGCGTAAAAATAACACCAGATATGTTTACGCAGTTTGGAGAAACTCTCCTAATCTGCGGGGCCCACGTCCGTGTAATAGCCCTCCACTAAATCACTAGATGCAAGTTACACCGGTACATAACAACATGATGAGACACCCTTCTCCGAATTGTTATGACAAAACTTCTAATCTAGGATTTCTAATCCGAACTCTGTTCAGGCGCTTTGGCTATCACATCTCCACCGAGATCACGAGGACAAACGTGTTGGCAGCCCACTCGTTCAGCTCTAATTCATCTCCTGGACGTCACAATCTGTTTGGCATTGAAGATCTCCTCCTTCATGTAGATCGTAACCTTCTTCACGCATGGGAAGCTCCGGGACGCGACGGGAACGCTCTACATCAGCGTATATTCTTTGTTTTCCCTCTCAATCGCTCCAAGTAATTCCCAGGGACCTGCTGCGTTTTTATAGGCTCCTCTTAACACAATCCTAGTAGCAATAGGATAGTAGAAGTTGGCTTGAATTCTACTTCCTTAATCTTGATCCACAAGTAGCCTAAAGAGTTGGGATTCCTTAGCATGTACAGCTGGAGTTATTATCATGTAATCACAATCCCAATAGGTTTCTAATCCAGATTGCAGCTTAAAATCCCGTGCTCAGACCTCTGATCCCGAACAAGGTGTTGCAGCATCGTGTTGTAGCATCTTCTGTGTCAACCTCGAAAACTGCAGCAACTCTAAAAGTCTAAATAAATTAAACATCTCCTAACAAATAGAGGTTTCTACCTAGTACAACATCTAACAAATATGGGATTCTATTTTGTCAAAATATTAGCCAACACCATGGAACCAACACTTTGAACTTTCGAAAATGTTGCATCATGGTCTCTCTACGCCATATTTGGGAGTACGTTAATCACACATTCGTCTAGCGCAAGTACGGATTCATCTAAACTCATACCCCTCCGTCCCTAAAAGAATTTTCTTCTTTAATGAATGTGCAAAACCCTGTAACTTTTAAAATGGTTTTATTTGCAAAATGTTATAGAAATAAATAATAAAAATTTATATTTAAAAACTACATAAAAAATTTTACAAAATAAGAGGTAATAAAATATTTTATTTTATCAAATGATTAATGAAAACATGCAAACAAATAAGAGTTACTGAGAGAGCGTAATAATAAACATTAATGCTTTTAGGGACAAGAGTGTATCACAGTATAACACGTGAGTTGTGTAATAAATTTTTTTTTAAACATTATTTTTATATTTCAAACATCTTGAAAGCCCGGATAATTATTTCCATTTTAGCTGTTGGTAATAGTATTAGCCGTTGGTAATAGCATTCAAAGCTCGGTCATCAGTAAATCAAACTCTTTATCAATTGATCAATTTTTTCATCAATCTATGACATTTTCATCAAACTCCAACAAGTATATTGATGAGCGCATGAATAACGCGGTCCTGAATCTAGCGCAGAGTGACCATTGATATAATGTTTTAAAAAGATTAACTATTGGTGCAACTTTAATGTTTAGTAGAAATCGTTCATTTTTTGAAGAGTTCGATGGTAAAAGACTCAAAAAACTCGATAGACTTAGAACATGTTTTCTTCAACTTGTTTTTATTACATATTAATTATTCCTATTGGAATCATTTCAGTTAAGATCGATGAGATTAGATCAAAACTATTTTAAATATAATTACATTCAAATTAGATTAGACCGAATCAAAACAAATCAAGTGAGAACTTATTTCAATCATATCTGAATCATTCAAACCAGTAGAAAAGAACAAACCCTTATTATGAGATCATCCAATATATGAGTGATGATTTCATAATACTTTTTTATACAACAAAACTTATAAGATTTATATCTTATAAAAAACCTTATTGATACAAGAATAATTTTATTAGATTTATCTTATAAAATATTTTTAATATAATATTTTATCTTATTAATATATCATATTTTTACATAATTATAGGTCAAACACCAATTCTAGTTAACTGTAAAAAAAAGTTAGAACTCGAAAAATACTCTAGGATGTAAGAAGTAATAATTACTTAGTACTCCCTCCGTTTCTTAAAACCCTCCATCTTTCATTTTTTTTTGTTTTTCTTTAAACACTTCCCCTTTCTATTAAAAAACCATTTTTACCCCTACTTTTTCATACCCTACCTATCACATCATACTTTTTCACTAACAACTAAATTATCACATCTTACTTTTACCCATCACATCAAGGACAAAATTGGAAAGTCAACTACAGTTTAACACTTCCTTATTTTCCCCCAAAGTCAAAAGAGGAACTCTTTTGAGAAACGGAGGTAGTATTATAATAAGAATAAAATTAAAAAGGTAGAAGAGTTTGAAAGAAATAGGAAAGAGTTGAAATAAACTAGAAAGAGTTCAAAGAAATTGGAAGAAGTTCAAAAATATGGAATGTTAATTCCTCCAACCCAAATAGACATGCCCTTATTCATAGTTATATATCATTTGACCACGCGAAAGGCTAATAATTAAACCCGTGCAAAGAAGGATTCGCGTCGAAATTGGGCCAAGATCAATACAAATTTTTAGTCCATTTCAGGCATGGCCCGGCCCAGATTTGATGGGCTAAACTCTTTACCTATACTCGCCCACCTTAGCGGGCCGAATTGTGCATTAGGTCATCCGACCCAGAAAAAACATCAAGAAATCTTTTTTGCACAGAAACATCAAGAAAAACATTGAACTCTTTTTTCAAAGTTTTAGATAAAATCACTAGTCACCACACTTAAATAAAAAACATGACAGAAGTATTGTTGCACAATTAATGGAGAAAGATCTATCTAAATAGTACTAAAACATAGTGATGTTCCCAATATAGTACCATATGTTTTTATTTTCACAAAGTAGTACAAGTGTTCAATATCCGTTTGTCATTGTTCAAGTAAATATCTACTGCCACTAGGCATTGTTACAACTAAATGTCCACCATTACATGACATTATTTCTGTTACTAGACATTATTCAAGTAATATTTAGAGAATAAAAAAGTTTAAATAATATGCTGAAAAATGACATATGCTTTAGTACTATTTAGTGCAAATTTCACATTAATAAACCCATCAAATCATAAAAAGATTATTGATTTTGTTCAAGAGAGGTGAAAGAATTGAGCCATTATACATAAATTATAAAAAAATTAAAATTTACATGGGTTAGATAATTAATAATAAAGTAAATATATTTAATGAACATGGGCAGGCCTATTGGCCCGGACGGGCTAAACATAATTTGCATATCCGCCCATATACAATTCAGGTTCGGATCAACCCACCCAAGTGGGTATTAAAAGTGCCCATATCTGTCCTTTTTAAAGAACAAGCCGGACGGGCTGACCCTTATTTGTACAGGTCTACTAATAATATTAGTACTAATGAAGTTATAATACTAATAATGTACACGGTGGCTAAATTAAGAAAATTGACGTTTATAGTTTTCAAATTTCATTATCACTGCTTATCCAGGGCTTAGAGTTGGATCACATTCAACAATAACCACTTATATGATTTTATCAAAACAAAATCGATCACAAAATCGTACTTAATTAAGCAATTACGGATGTTTTAGAATTCCCTAATCTTTGCTTATCATCTGCTAGTTTTAAGATCATTTTCATAGCTATGGGTTTCACTTAGGTTTTTTCTTCTCAATTAAGATAAATTAAAAGGAGTGAAACTGCATATATTTTGTGTATTGGGATTACTATACAATTGTACAAGGAAAAAGATACTACGTATATACCTAAATATATCAAAAAAAAAGATCTTTTATGGTTTGTTCTCCTAAATAAAATGTTACACTGTTAGTCTATTGACATTTTACAATATTTTTGAACATTATCTTGAAAGTAATTCTATAATTTGTCCTTTGTAACACGAAATTGTTCATAGTTAGGTTTCTATTATCAAATATTATATCCATTGTCATTTTATGAATACTTTCCCGCAGATAATCTTTTTTTGTCATGTTAGTATTAATTTGAGGGTTAAAAGTATAATTTTTCATGTGATACCCAGTATCATATTTTGTGGAAAATGTTACAAGGATGACCAATGGGTTTTGGTGGACTATACTACCAAAGCATTCATGAAAACAGTATCATCATCCCATGAGCCATATTTTTTTCGAAACACAATGAACATGATTAATAGATGGCCATTTGTTGCACAAAAGTTGCCTAAAATATTGTTAAATGTGAAGTAATGGAACAAAAATATAGCAATCTTAAAATTGTAAGCATAGGCGAACCACACGAGGGCAAGGGCACAAAAAAAATAATCCAAATTAGCAACATTACCTACCAGCAAAACAATAATCACTCGGATCGTGGCTTCTTCTCTTCCTTTGCATCAGACTGTTCTGCTCCCTTCTTCATCTTAGCTTCACGCCGTTCTCTCTTAACTCCCCTTGCTTTGTTAGGCAGTGCCACACTCCCAATCTACACAAGAGTTAAAATACCAGGTCAGCAAAATAATATGGGTGAAGTGCACAAGGCAGAGCGTTCGTTATCAGCACAATGAATAATTTTGCAAGGGGAATTGAAGATTCATCGATAATTATATTGCATTCTGCAAGCATCCTCAATGCAATGCCATGCTAATGAACTGAGAATATAATTCAAATAACTTTTCTAATTATTAGACATAGTAGAAAAAGTAACTCTCAGAGGACAGATTCGCATGTTAACAGTTCAGGATTTTAAGGGACCCGATTTACTCAAGATGCAAATTTGTAGGGACCTGATTCAATGAATGATTATTTAGATCCAAATTGGATCATCCAACACAAGCTTCACAACTCATCAACAGGAGTTGATGAGATATTCATAGGGATCCCATTTGCTCCTTGTTCATGAATTCCTTCCAGTATAAAAGGAGAACAATAGCTCTAGGGAGACAAGAAGTTACACACATGATCACTCTAAGGAGACAAGAAATTACACACATTAGCTACATATTCCAACTCCGTTGCTTTGAAGCCTTGCTACATACATGTAGAACACCTAACGCCCAAACATCAATTGAAAAGCTCCCAGCCCCAACGGCATGGTACCATAAAAAAGACCATTTTACCATTTAATTTCCACAAAACATCTAATGTGTTATTCATACTTTTATCATTATTAGTCATTATGATTGACATACCCAAATCTGGCTATCCGGCACAACAATTTGATAACCTAGCTATAAAGTATCACTTACACGTTACACACTATACCCTTCGCCTTGAAGGGTAGTGCTGCAGACAACATAATCGTTAACTCTTATTTTCAATGAATCACATTTTAATAAATTAGTAAAACCATAAACTGTTGAATTACCCTTTTTATACGATCAATAATTGTCAGAAGTTAATAAAGAATACACATGAAAACTATTCTCTATAGCATAAAAAATTCACCGCAACCAATTTTATAGTTGAGATAAAACCACACCCCCCCAATGTCATAAGTAATTATATGCAAGGTACACCTGTGAACTCCGGATAAGGTTTCATGTATGAATAAACCGTAGTGCATAGCCAATGGATGAGAATATCAGAAAAAGCTTAAGACAGATTTAAGTATTACCCCCTGATCAGGAACATATATCTTCCCAACTTTCCCTTGGATAGCATCTTTGAAAACATTTTTCTCCTGATAATGGAAACATAATCAGCAAAAAAATAGCAAGAGTATATAACCATTTTCTTCAAAGTGATATGGCCAATGAAACAAGGAATCAATGAAAAACCTTCTTCTTTGTTTTATCAGAAGCAGTTCTCATAGCCTCTTTCTTTAACATCTCATCAGGAAGGCGATGTCGTCGAAACACCAAATCCATAGACGGTCCAACCTCAACCAACTCTATTCTTGGAACAATGGTGCCAGATTTTTTTAGTCGTAATGCACAATGAGTTAAAAAGACCTTATTTGAAGACACACTTGTGCATACAAAAACATGATCCAATCCAGCCAGATTCAAATTTGTCACAACCTGCACAATGTCAAGCTTATCACTGCCAGACGCAATTGGACGAGAGTTCCTGAAAACATAGAAGAAACTTTAAACAAACCTCCCCGTGAAATAGATCTAGTAAAATTTCCTTCAAATGCTTCAATTCTTCCACACTCTCGAATCCTTCTCCAATGAAGGCAAAGAAAGGTTTCGATCCAATTTTTGGAGCCAACTTTTTACCAAATGCAAAAGACTCCATGCTTTTGAAGTTCTCCACACCAAGCTCAATAAGATCATAAATGTGGTGGTCATAAGCTCGCCCAATTACAAGATTGTTAGGGCGCTTCTTTGAGTGAGACCCAAACTGCAAATAATACAGCGTATATAGAATTAATTGCATACAAAGATAATTTCAGAAAGGTTGTTAGCATTGCTTCCTTAAGAATGTATACAACATTATAATAATATAGCAAAATAAAAAACCCAATAAAATCCCCAAAGTGGGATGGAGTGAGTATGCAGAGACCTTATTCCTACCTAAAAAGTAGAGAGGTTGTTTCAAGAGACCCCCATCTCAAAACACAAAGGGACCCCAGTAAGAACAAGTCAACAAGTAAAAGAAAATTGAAAAGAACATGCAAAAGAGAGATAAAAAAACCTCCAAGTAAACACTCCCTAGAAATAGCTAATGTAACAAGTGCTACACAATGAAAGCCCACCCCCGACAGTCCAACACCACCACAAGCCTAGACTTTCAAGGCCATCTATGAAGCTAATTTTGTTCTGAAGTGCTCCTCTCTAAGGCAACATCCTCAGTTAAGTTCTGAAGCCGCAAAACTTGTCTAATCACCTCACTCCAACTCTGGTTGGGTTGGCCTCTACTCCTCGACTCCCTACCTCAACTCCTCAAGCCTCATGCACCTCCTCACTGGTGCACCCTTACTTCTCAGCATGTGTTCAAAAAACCTCAGCTAGGTTTATTATTATTATAAAGTTATAACCTACTTATTCTCTCATTTTTTTAATCAACAAAAAACTTTGTGCATAGAAGGTAGGGATCTCCCACTACAGATTATGAATGATTTGATATAAAACCTGTTCATTACATTCAGTTTCTCGAAGAATTGCCAATGTTATTTATCTTGAGTTGGTATTTGGAAAACACATCAATTAATTAATTTGAAAATGTTCAAGATTCGACAATACCTTCAAAATAAACTCTTAAAAATACAAAATCTGTTTGTAAATTTTCATTTGAAAAAAACTATTAAACAAGTTCGTGTGTTCATATATCAATGTCACTCACATAAGTTTATTGGGCACTTACTATACATGAAAAGGAACAACACCAGAGCACCAGTAACAAAAAAAATACATGAAAAAGGATTAACTGACCACAAAAAGGCTGCAATCGGTCTTTTGAAGAAAAAACTCCAGGGACGTTTCGCCTCCACTTTCGAACGGCCTGATATTCTCGTTCTTCCTACTATACTTGACAGAATTATCCCTCTTAAGTTGATAAATCTCAGTCAATAAAGCATTCAGTACGTTGTTAGTTTTTGAGCCGTGAAGTATTAAAGTCTTCTTCCCAGTTTCCACCTGCCAGGGTACATATCCCAATCAAATCGGGATTTTCAAGCTTAGAATCATGGCACCTTCAAGTAATACATTAAAATTTTGAAAAAGTAACACAAACACACCAGAGAATACCGCCATTAGAGAGGGAAAATCAAACTTACGAGTTTAGGAGCACGTTTTTCAAGCTCTCTCCTGATTCTTCCCTTCGTTGGGGTCTTTATTCCAATCATTTTCTAGCTGAAATTGTGCAAGCAAGGAGAAGAGAACGAGACTTGAATGAGCAAAAAAATACAGGCAACTTAGGGCTTTTAGGGTTCTTTGTTTCTCAGTGGCGCAAAACGTCGACCACTTTCCCGGCGATAAAGAAGCACTAATGGGCCGTTGTTGCACTGTTGTTTTAATGGGCCAAACAACGAATTTATTGGACGTCCATTCTCTCGCAGAAAAACAGGTGAGACTTTATTTCGTTTAACTTATTTTTTCAACCTGTAAATTTTTAAAATAATACTTAAGAAATATGTATTTTTCTCATACTAGTTTCTAATATAAATTAATTATCGAGATGGTACTCGTTAATTGAAAATAATATTCAGTTCAGTCTCTCGACTAATGGTCGTTAAAACGACATTAAACCTTATATTAAGTTCCCAAAATGGTACTTTTTAACTGAGGGTTTTCTGAAATTGGTCTATTTCTACATAAAAAGCATTAAATATGTACAAATATTTTAATTTTTTTAGAATGAGAGTATGATAATAAAAACTATAAATATAATTTTATAAATTTAAAACTATATGTTCTAGATTATTTACAATTATTTAGAAAAATGTCATGTAAACAAAATACTTAATAAACATTAAAAAAATCACCCTAAATAGGAGCAAAACATAAAGTACCAAAATAGAAGCTCTTTCTCCATGTTTTACTACTATTTAGGGTGATTTCTTTAACATTTAACATTTTTTACATGATACTTTCTAAATAATTATAAACAATCTAAAACGTTTACTTTCAAAATTTTAGAATTATACTTTTATTTTTGGGGAAAAGAATTATAGTTGCAAAAAGATATGAGTCTTCTATAATCGAGACAAAAAGAATAGTAGTACTTTTTTATTTTTTGTTCTTTTTTATATGAAATGATGGGTGAGTCATAAGTGAATCATAGTAGTATATGAAATGAAAATAAAGCTCGAATTTAATCATAGGTGAGTCATTCTTAGAAAGAAAAAAATTCAATGAAAATGTTGATAATGAATTGGTAAAATCTATCGAAGAAACATTGAATACGGATTATTTCTTGTACATAGTAGATATCACGATATCTTCGTTTTTTGAAAGCATCGATCTCTTCATTTAGTAATACATTTTTTTTTTTGAAGCAAAGTAATACATTTGACCATTTCTTAAATATAAAAGAGATTCTTTATTTTTGTTTAGTGGGAGAAAATTAAGGTCATTAGAAGATAATGAATTAAATTGAGTGATGCTTAAATATACAGAAGTTGTCAAGTTGATATACATAGTGTTAGGTAGTGGGTTGGTGTACCTCAAGTTTTCTTGATACTTCAATTTAATACTCCGTATGATTTTATTATGTGTTTAAAAAAAAATCGTGTCAAGTCTAATAAAAAGAACATACTAGGATGGATGGAGTAATAACCACAAAATTTTAGAAAGGTTTACACTGCAAAAAATACAAGTTGCATTGAACAAATAAAAAATAGCTTTATTAAATTAATGTTTATACACCAAGGTTTCAAAAAAAAAGTTTATGCACCAAAAAGAGTAGTTAATTTAAAACACAAACGGTCGGGCTCTGGTTCAAGTTCAATCGATACAGGCCTATTTTAGATTCATGTGCTAACCATTTTAGCTCATTTTGGTTCGGTTCCCATTAGGTTCTAAGATTTATTTCGGTTTTCTACACATTTCAATTAAACTCGGTTACGATTCAAGATATAATCTAATCAGTTCGGGTGCATTCCATTTCAGTTAATATAGATTTGACTATAAAACGATTCAGGTAGATATTCAGTCAAAAATACTACTCGGTAGTGCATGATTTTGTTGTGACACAACATAATAACTGCGCATAGTCCATTATTTTAACCAACACTGTCGGACATAAGAGGTTTAATGTATATTTGCCATGTATTAATATGTACATATAGTATCTTCAAAGGAGAATGTGTGAAGTCAGAAATCAAAATATGATGAAGCTTAAACAAACAAGACAAGGGAACCCTCTATTAACTCTAAAACTGGTTCTAAAAACCCAGTGAAAGTGGAAAGATCAATCAATGCATGAATAAGAATCGATTCGTTCTTGGAAGGATCCAGAAAGAACACTACAACAACAACCCAGTTGGATCATCGATCATTTAATAGAGAAACCACATACCTGAGAAAACATGATGTTATCAGGCTGGGCAATCAATCACTCAGGTGTTTTCAATTGTGGCAGCCACGACGCGCATTTGAGAAGGGAGCTCGGGCTGATGACCGTTCCTCCTCCAGAAGGCCCTTTTCCACCAAATCTGGAATCCTCTCTGAATGTTTGGGCAGTCATCGCTAGAGTTCAGAAACCTATCGAACCATGCCATTAATATTTCTTGCTGCCAAGCCATTGGCAGGGTTAAGATTGTACTGCTGAGTCCATCTTCAATTAAATGGCGATCGAGACCTCTAGATGCCCTCCTCATCCAGCCAAAATCCTCATAGAATGGAACTAACCATGTCTGCATCAGCAAGCATCTGGTTTCCCTGGAAGCTAGCAGTTTCCCTTTCCCTATACCAATAAACAGCCTTGCAGTCACTCGGCTGACCTCATGTCTGTGAACAGCGGGCACTTTACAATGTGCCTCAGATAATTCAGACTGAGAAGCCCAAGTCTTCAAAAAGTCAACGGCTAACTGCCTGTCTATCAATATGTCCAACACCCAATGCAAATTATCAGCCTGCCGAGAAATCTGTGCCACATCTTGCAAGTCTCCATTCGCTGCCTTCAAGAAATGGTGTCTGAGTAATTGCAAGCATGCATCACAAGCCGAATACAGAGATTCCTTCGTCAAGTCGTCTTGAGATGAACTTTCATGGAGCATTTTAGAAACTAAGGTTTTCATCTCCCGCCTTGCCTTCTCATCCTTCCCTTCAAGAACCACATACAATAGCTTGAGAAGAACTTCTTCGTTGCCAGACCCTTCCGGTGTCCTGCCCATAGTGTCAAGAGAAACCCTCTTCAAAACTTCCCCAGCTCCAACACCTTCAAGCCGAAGCTCAGACAAAAGAGAAGCCACCTTTTCTTCCTCATCCTCAGCCCAAGGAGCAGCCTCCAAGTACTCAAAACAAGACAAAACCCCAGCATCAAACCCGATTGCTGCCGAGACCTAATGGATGACATTATTAAGAAATATTGGGCAGAGCAATATTGGTTAAGAAGATCAGTGAAAAGAAATCAATGGTTTTAGATACAGAGCAATATTTCTCAAGCTACAAACAACATAGGTACGCTTAGTTAGAGACCACGGAGAGTGACAGTGATATGATACAAAGGCTTTTAGGTTAAGTGTTTCTCATCATCCATCATCAGCCTTATCCCTTAGGACCCTAAAAGTTATTGTGTTGATCTTCTACACACCATAACATGATAATTAAATGCAAGGATTGTTAAGAAGAAGAGTAACTGTTTTTGGATAAAGAGCAATAGTTTCCAAGCAATGAGTGAAACACATAGGTATCTTTAGAGAACACCATGAATGACAAAGGTAAAAGGCTTCTACCTTCATCGCTTTGCATAAGCAATCATCAACCTAATCCCTTAAGACCAAATAAATTTTTGTTTTGATCATCCTCAGATATGTCACACACACCATAACATATTATGTTTCCATATAATAGTCCGGGCCATCGAAGCCTATCATGATGATAATTTTTATGTAATTAAATTATCAAGCACACAATAAGTCAAGAACAGTTTAAATTTGTATGAAAACCTTTTAGCATAAACTTTACCTTTAAGATTCCAAGGACTCTAGGAACATCTTCTTTCATAAGCTTCTTCCTCAAATCCTTGCAATACATTAGCCTCAAAGTCTCAATATAAATCTCAATGTCATCACAATCAGCAATCTCTACTATATATGGAGCTGAAGTCTTCTGCTGCTTGGCCCATTTCTCGGACAACTTCACGGCAAAAAAACGACTGTGGGCAAGCAGGATCTCCCTGTGAACGTTGATTGAAACACTCAAGCCATCCTTCGAACTCAAAGTAAGCTTCACATCACTGGAGGCCGAGTCATTGAACTGATTCCCAGGACTCCTACAGGCCAAAAGATCCGAAAGCCGCTGCTGCATTAAGGCCTGCTTGTCTGGGGCTGGCACTGAATTGGGTCTGTGGTTCGAGGAAGAAATTACCCCGTATTGAATCTGTGGAGCGGCCTGAGGAGCCGCTCTGGGGAGGTAATCTGGCTCGCTTGCCATCATCTCGAAGAGTGTCGGGCTAGGCCTGTTCTTATCCACCGATGGAGGAGGCGACATTGGGTTTAGAAGACCGGCAGTGAGAGCAGAGTTGAATTTGCTAAGAGACGAAGGGAACGCGTCGTAGCAGGCAGGCGAGATGGAGGTGTCGCCGCCGTAGACAAAGGAGGAGGCAGCGGTTGGGGAATCCATAAAGTGATGCAATGCACTCGGGAGGTACCGGATCTTATGATTTGACGAAGATGACGAAGCAGAGACCGACGGCGGCGGAAATGCGGCAGACTCTTCGCCGGAGACGGCGGGGCAGCACTCAGGAGAGACAAACGCGGGAGAGTCGATCGCACGATTTTGACTTAGCTGAAGTGCGCGCGTCTGACTGCGAGCCGATATCTCCGAAGAAGAAGATGACGACGACGACGATGAGGAAATTGTGTCGGCGTCGGGATCGGCGGCCGGAGAGGTGGCGGTAATGGTGGTCTCGCGGCAACGGCGTCGTTTGGGCTTTATGGTCTGGGATTGGAAAATGAGATGAGTAGCAGTGGGAGCCATTCGAGAGAGGGAGTGAGGAGAGGATATTATCGTCCGTACAGTGGATGTGAGGGCCTCGAATTTCGGGTAATTTGGTGCCCGTTAGGGTTGACAGAGCAGAAGATGAGTATCCAATATCCCATCAATGGATCACCTGGAAAGAGTGTAATGGAGTTTTTTTAAGGGCCATGCTACAATCCACCACAAAGTGTATCTCATTTGTACATCGTAGTTATACACAAATATTTTGATGGTTTACACCGACACAAGTGTTGGTGCGTTAACAAAAATTTACACGGACACAAAATGTTGGTGCATTAAGAAAAATTAGTTTTACACCAACACAAAGTGTTGGTGCAAAGCTACGGGGTACAAAACATGGGGTACAAATAGCTTTATCCTTTTTTTAAAGATGAACTCT